TTATAAATTTCAATTTTTTAACAAGTTTAAAATGTGATAAATATTAAAACTTTAAAAAGCTGAAAATTCTGATTTTATTTAATTTTTATAGAATATTTAAATAATGAAAAATATTTAAACTCTACAAAAATTAAAAGTATTACTAATATTTTAGCTCTACAAATATTTAAAATATAATAATATTGGACATAATATGATTGAACGGGTTTTAGTTTACATAAATATGATTATATTTTTCTGCGGGTTGTCTATATTTAAAATCTTTTACGGGTTAAGTTAAAATATAATTTTTTATTTACAACAAAATTGTCTCGCGATGTACCGCGGGTTTACCACATATATCTATGAATTTACTTATAATACAAATTTATAAAATTATATTAAATTAAATAAAATAAACATATACAAAACTAAATTATATAAATCAACTATGAAAATGATCAACCAAAAAAATATATTAAATTATGGACCCGTGGTGTACCACGGGGTAAATCCTAGTATATATTTATATATCCTCTAGTAGAAAAACTAAGAACAATAAACGTTTATTCTTTTTTTTTCTCCCAGTCTTCAACAGTTGAGGTATTTATGATAATCAATTTTTCTTAATTTTAAATTAAGAAGTCCTACATCAACTGCAGAGACTAATTTCAAATTAGGATGCCTGAGAAATTCAATCCAATCACATTTTTTTTTCGTTAACAAAATCAAGTTGAACTATTAAAGGATTATATTTGATACATGATTTTAATCAAATTCGATATAATCTACCAAAAAAAAATCCCAATTCTTGATCCAATATATGAAAAATAAGGAAGAAGGTATTGTTTACAGTCACTTTTAATCAGAAAAGAGAAAGCAAAAGTAGCAAAAACTCAAAAAAGGGTTTTCTTTTCTTACTAAGTTTTTAATTCATGTGTAGTCTTATCCCTCCGTTTCACATTGTTTGATGTTTTGGAAAAAAAATTTGTTTCTAAAAGATTGATTTTGTAGATTAAAAAATTAAAACTATATTTTTACTTTATACTTTTTTCCACATGGCAATTACGTAATGATTTATATTTTCTCTTTCTATCAAAAAGTAATTATAAATTAATTCATAAACAAATATTTAATTTTACCTTAATATGTGTGAAAAATCTAAAATATCAAACTTTTAGAAACAGAGGGAGTAGTATATATAAACGTATTTGGTTGATGTATACAAACGTTGCGAGAGAGCAGCTGGTTTTATGTTTGGTCGTTGGCTTTGGAGGTCATTTTATCGGCTCTCACTCTGACATTATTTTACTCAACTTTTTTAATATTCCTAAAAAATATAAATAAATAGTAAAACGATGTCGTTTTATAATTTCATCCTTCCATGTGGCATCATAGTCATCATATGTTAAGGGAATTGTAACACCATTTATAGAGTTGATGGTTTTGACCAGATTTAGACTGTTCGTGTAGAAAGTTCATATTGTAGTTAAGTTTATGTAGTTTCAAACACAACCTCAAAGTTTTGTATATATAAACGATAAAGCAACTAAGTTCATGGGGAAATAGCCGTTTTGATCTATAGACATTGCTTCGTTGCTTCGATTGCTGTTTTCATGTTGGCGTGTTCCTTGTGGTTTGGTAATCCTTAAGTTTGAGAATCGTACTTTTGAGAATTGTACTTATAACAAAACAAAGTTATATGAACCTGAATTGCAAGAGCCGACTGTTTTTATCTATTATATATACTCGACCGGTGTAAGAAAATGGACAAACCGATGATTATCATTATAGAATGTTTGCAATTGATAAGGACACAAGCCTAAATGAGGTGTCAAAAAACGATATCTAACAGGTTAGTAAAAATGCTATATCATTGTGGAGTTCACCATATATCCATCTTTTTCTTTGGTCCAAGAGCTCAACACGTAGATACCAAAAGCATCATAAACAGATTTAGGCCAAAATATTTTAAAAACCATGAGTTAAAATTTCTTATGTGGATTGATAACTACTGTAGATGCAAAGCATTTTGGACTCAACCAGTCACAAACACATCAAAGCTAGTGAGTGAAACAGAGATAGGTGCTATTAAATCAACTCAAACAACATAATATCGGCATCTGTGGTTTGTATTACAAGGTGGTCTAAAATGTAACAGTTAATTAATAGCTTTACATCAACAAAAACTTTCAATAGAAAACTAAATTATTAACATGTTAATATTTGTTTATGAACGTTTTGTAAACACTTGAGGTTTCTTTTAAAATTTGAATTTTTGGTTTGATTGATATTATGTATAGTGAAATGACTCTCGCATGATTAATGTTGTATTTTATAAGCCAAGGATCAGTGTATTAATAATAATAGTTGCTGATCATGAATTCATGATCATCTTAAAAAAAGAAAGAAAGAATTGAAAGGTGGCTAAGAGATTCATGGCAGACTTTTGGAGGAAAAATGATTTATGGGAAGAGCCAAGAGTTGTGATACTTAAGAGTGTAATACTGAAAAAAAAGAAAAACAATTTCTATTTCCCCAAACAATCGTAGAAAAACAAAACAAAATGGTTAAGTTGAAAGCAGAAAAAAAAATTGTTTGCAAACCAAACCGAAGCATTTATAAATTATCAACCGAACCAAAACAATCTGTAGAACTTAGAACTAATGCTCAACCAAAATTTCATATTGACCAAGTCTCTTTGATTAGATGTTTTTATCTTTTATTTAGTTGCTGGACATTTTTAAAACTGTACTAAATTTTATAAAAAATTTGACAATTTACACTATATATTGTTGTTATTTGAAAACTATACTTTTAATATTAAAATGGACGAAAATACCCTATTATTTAATCACCAATATTAAATAAATTAACTAAAAACAGTAAAATGTTAATTTAAAAAATATTTTAAATTTTAAAATTAAAAAACGTATTAATATTTTTAATAACTAAAAATTATATTTTTTAAAGTAATAAATATATTAAAATTTTGTTCAATACAAATATAAAAAATAAAATTGATGGCCAAATTTTATTTTATTAAAAAATATGTAATTTAAGATTATGTAATCAATAATATATGTATATATATATATATATATGTATATATATACATATAGACTTATTTTATTCAATGTTGATTCATTTATTAATAAGGTTGATATTTTATTGATTTGTCTATTTACTTATGTTGACTTGTTTTTATTTTTGTTGACTTATATTACAAGAGTCGACTTATATTTTGTTTCGTTATTTTTTTATACTGTCGACTAATTTATACCGTTGACTTATTTGTTATGTTTGTTGATTTAATAAAAAAAATTGATCGATTTGTTTGGTCTTAGTAGACTTATTTCATTTTTATATTGACTATTACTTGGGTTGACTTTTAGAACTGTCGACTTACATATTATGTCTCTCGACTTAATTTTTGTTGTTGTTGACTTATATTACAAAAGTCGACTTATAATTTGTTTCGTTGTTTTTTTGTACTGTCGACTTATTTATAGAGTAGACTTATTTGTTATGTCTGTTGATTTAAAAAAAAAATTGGTCGATTTATTTGGTCTTAGTAGACTTATTTCATTTTTATATTGATTTATTACTTTGGTTGACTTTTACAACTGTCGACTTATATATTATGTTTGTCGACTTAATTTTTGTTGTTGTTGACTTATATTACAAGACTCGACTTGTTATTTGTTTAATTGAATTTTTTACATTGTCGACTTTTTTGAACTGTTGATTTTTTAGGGTTAACTAGTTTAGATACTTTTCATATTAAAGTTAAAAACATGTAAATATCGTTTTCAAAATTTTCTATTAAAAGAAAAAATTGTAAGAGTTATTTGATATTATGCTTATTTAAAATTCATATTTAATTTTAAATCCAAAATTTTATAAATATTATAAATTCGTATTAAATTTTAATTATTTATAATATTATCTATAATAAATTAGTTCAAGATTACTATAATAAATTTTAAAATATTTGAATCTCTAATTTATAACCAGTAGTTTATTGAGAATTTTTGAGAAATACCCCTTTTGGTGTACCCCTTTTTAAAAATACCCCTTTTATCTATCCATTCTCAAAAATACCCCTTTTTAAATATAAAAATTTATAAAGTTTTATATAGTTTATAAGGTAGTTCTATATAAGAACTATTACTGGGAGATTCGATAGAAATATTTTAAAATGTTTTAAATAGTTTTAAATCGTTTTTATAAGTTTTATAAGGTTTTTAAAAGGTTTTTAAAAGAGTTTATACGGTTTTTATAAGGTTTTTATAAAGTTTTTATAATTTATTTTTACGCTATTTATGAAAGGTATATAAAGTTTTATACACATATAAAGGTAATTTATATATATATTTATAAGCTTACACACATATTTGGATAAATTTTAACATTTTTAATGGATTTTTTGATAAAGTTTGAAAAGAGGGTATTTTTAAAAAGAGGTATATGAAAAGGGGTAATTTTGAAATTCCCCCTAGTTTATTTTAAATAATATTCTTAAAATTAAATTATTATTTTTTCAGTTGTAGTTACTAATTAATATTATCTATAATCAATATCTAAAATATTTTTTAAAAATACGAACATAATAAATTAATTTCTAATAATTTTTTTTTAATAATATTGTAAAATATATTAATTTTTTTATTTAGTTTTTGTATTATTAATTTTTAATTATTAATTAAGGGTAAAGTAGTCATTTTTAACTATACATAAGATACATTTCAAATATTTAAAAGAGTTGGTGTAGAATTCAAATTTCAATTTAAAATTAGGATACAACTACAGAATAATCCTAATAGAAAACATATCACATCATGACCTCTTGTGTCCACTTTAGTAATTGTTAATTTAAGTTTGGGAACTCTTCTGTTTAAGTAAAGAAAAAACCAAAAATTAAAGGTGGTCTAAACCATACCACCATAAAATGGATACTCAAGAGAACAAAACAAAAGAGTTCGATCCCATTCCCATGAATCGTATGAATATAACTAAAGTACAAATGAGACATATGTACTTTTATAAAGTTTTGAACAGAAGAATTTACAAATTTTTAGTTTTATATACAATGCCTATAAGCAGTGGCATTGAACGTTTATTTACAACTTGACTTGATAATCCAACCTCAGAAAAGAATAACATTACAGATTTTGTTGGAACATATTTAACAAATCTCCTCTTTATCCAATGCCTCTTGAGCTTCCATTGATGGTTTCATGTAGATTTAGGCCAAAGAATCTCTAGAAGTAGGAGAAATCTCTTCGGTATGAGCAGTGGGAACATAAACTGCATTTACAAGAGCGCTGTTTCTTCGCCCATAGAAAATGTAAACAAGTACTCCGATGAACAGCCAAACCGATACACGAGCCCATGTCCCAGCTCTAAAACATTAGCAAGACAAACATGTTATATATACAGTAGTACAACTCATCCATTAGTATTTACAAATCTGGCGTAATGAATGATTCCTACTCACCCAAGGTTTACCAAGAGATACATGTTGATAAGAATGCAGACGATAGGCAAAAGTGGAACAAACGGGCAAATGAAGCCTGTGAAACGAAAGGGTTATAAGTTACATCTCTAACTTTCTGGTTTGTAGCCAAATGAAATGCTTATAACTACAAAACATTAGGCTGATTTGTTTTAGGAAAAGGGACATCAGTACCTCCAGAATGCCCAAAACTGTGTCTAGCATCATCTTGATCTAAGCAGCTCAGAACAATCAAACCGACGAGAAGGAACAATCCACCAACACCACATAGAGAATAACGGAGGAGTCTGTTGATAATTTGCATAAAAAGGAGATTAAGTATTCTAGTCAAACGCACAAATTTTGAATCCCAGTATCAGACATAAGTTCAAGTAAATAAACAGTTGATAAACTAACCCTGGCAAATGGAAGCTAGAGGCTGCATAGCTTAAAAGAAAGTTTCCAGTACAAGTGAACATAATGCTCCAACCAGCGAGTTTTCTCCTGTTTTCTTTGTTGAGAATCCCTACAGAATCAACAACATATGTGAACCTTTTGCTTATACCAGGACCAGAGATGATCAACAAACATAAAAAGTTCATGCACAATGTGAATAAATACTGATATAAGCTAGTTTGCAAAAAATGAATAGTAACTTACATCCTCCTTGAGCTTCTTGCTTCTCCAGAATTGAGGCATTAGTTTCGTAAAGTAAAGGTTGTGTACTTCTAATGGAAGTCTCAACGTGACTGGATGAGTTCTCTTCACCACTTTGGAAAGGAACAGAACAAATCCTCTCTTGAAGTGATGAGGGAAGAGGTACCTGATAAAAGCTTTGTTAGTTTAGTGCATAGCATTGTAACGAAGTTGGAGATTCCGGTTTGGCCATCGGAAGTTAGTTAGAGACTAACTTTAAATGAAGTATATTCTATAATGTTATTCTTAGATGAAATAAAGTAAAGAAGAAGTTTATGACTCCAAATCATATTATTACCTCATCTGGAGGAACATATCTGACTATCAACACCGAAACAGCAACCATTGTAAATGCAACAAGTGTCCCAACACTCACCTACACCAACAAAAGCTTGTCAAATTCTAGTTACAGGCTATGTGGTGCTTTCAGTACCGGACCAGGTAATTTTGTTGAATCAAAGTGTTTCCTAATTACCATTCCAGCCAGTTGCGAAACATCCATAAAGAAAGCTAAGTTTGCTGCACAACAACCAGTTATTACGGTACCATTTATAGGAACCTGTGTGCGTTGATTCACATTTGAGAAAAATGAAGGCAAGAGACCATCCCTAGCCATTGCCATCAGAATCCGCGGCTGAAAAAAGAAGGCTCTTTGGTGAAAAAGTAACAATTACTTAGCAAAAAGTATGGTACAAAAGGAATCCACAGAGCATCAATGTTTTCTTTCATGAACTATGTTTCTAGTTTACCTGAGGGAGAATGGAGCCCATTAACACAGAACAGAGAGCCATGACAGCACCTAAAGTTATCAAATATCTATAAGAGAAAAAAGGCAGGGGGAAAAACAAATCAAACTCTAAACAAGTCTTGTCAACGAACAGTATTACATCTTAACCAATTTATGGACTTACGCAGCCCATTGCATTCCATGACTAGAAAATGCGGAGGAGATTGGAGTGTCAGGGTCCATAGCATAATACGGCACCAAACCAACAATAACAACAGACACCATCATGTATAGCAAACAAGAAAGCAGGAGTGAAAGACCAATACCAAGCGGTAAATCCCGCTGGGGTTTTTTCACCTGCATATGAAACAGCAATGAAAAAGTATATCAACCAATGCATCCTTCAAATATGATGCTGCAACATTATATGATACGGACCTCCTCTGCCATACTTGCAACTGTATCAAACCCGATGTAAGCAAAAAAAACAGTAGCAGATCCAGTAAGCATTCCATCAACACCATATGGAAAATACCTAAGAAACAAAAACAATATACTCAATATATCTTTAACATTTCGATATGATGGTGGTAGCATAAGGACAGCTCAACTTACCCTGTTGGGAGTTCATAACCAACCCAACCAGTCTTAAAACACAGATAACTACCAACTACTATGACAAATAGCATGACAAAGACATTTGCTGTAGTTACGATTCCCTGAGCAAATGTGCTCTGCAGAGAAGAGATATTTCACTTTTAAAACCAAACAATTGAGTCTGTTCAAACGAGGTAACTGAAAAAATATAAAATATATACCTCCTTCACTCCAATGCATAAGAGCCCTGTGACAACTAACACTAGTACAGCAGCACACGGGTCAACAACAATATCTAGGCCAGGGATTTGATGACGAGATAATATTGAAGGTAGACTATCTTCACCACCAAAAATCATTGCCTATTATGTTATATTAGAATCTCATCACATGATAGCGAAACAATTTCCAAACGTACATGTAAAAATAACAGGACAAGTGAATAAATTGATAAACACAAAGATATCCAAAGCTTCACAAAAAGAAAAAAAAAAAAAATCCCCTTTATTGTTTTATCTATAAATGCCATTTCAAGATCTCAGATGAATCCTTGATAAGTGAGGTCATTGGCTTAAGAATCCTAGCTCAAACAAAACTAAGAATGCAAGAAAATGATCTTATAGATCTTTATAGTCTGTATTGAAATCCCTGCCAAGCAAAGTAATAGTTCTATGGAAAGAATGGGTCAGCGGCACACAACAATTCTAAACACAAGATAACACCACTCTTCAAGAAACAAAACAATGAATGTAACCGATGCAAGCCTAGAGCCATCAGTATGAAATGCAAGGAAGAGAAGATATCAATCAGTCAAAGGGTAAAAACCAGATTAGGAGATATGCCACGAGCAACTGTTGAACCACCAATTGTGTATTCCAGAATCAATGCCCAGCCAATCAACCACGCAACACTACAATAACAAGAATTCATAACCAAACGCAATGACTAAAAACATCGAATGACGAATGAAAGCCCGAGAAACCGCTAGATAACTAAATAAGCAAGTAAAAAATTTTACCCTTCCCCAATGCAAATGTAAGAATAATGATAGGCACTCCCAGCTGAAGGGAAACGACTAGAGAGTTCCGCATAACAAAAAGCCGAAAGGGCAGCTGAAATCCCAGCTATAAGGAAAGAAAAAGCAAGAGCAGGTCCTGAATGCTCCCTAGCTACTGTTCCCACAAGAATATAAACCCCTGCTCCAATCGTTGATCCAACACCTAAAATTGTAAACCAAACTCAAACTTAAGTGAATAACAAAGCCAAAACAAACACATACCCAAAGTTTCAATCTTTGAAGGTAACAGATGGAGTCATCTTCCAAAAGCTAAACAGAAACAGAGGAGAATACAAAGTCAACACACAAAAAGCTCCCATCTTTGAAACCCATCTTCAAATCAGATTACATTATAAGAAGATTCATCGACTAACTAAGAAACCCAGATTCCTTAAACATCATTGAATCAAGAGTCCAATGCAAAAAAAGTAAGATACCAATAGCAATCAAGTGAGGAAAGGTCAAAGCTTTGGCGAGCTGAGGATGAATCCCAGTTTCGCCATTTGAAGAAGAGTCGACTTGTTTCCTTCTGATTAAAGTTCTTAAGCAACCCCATGAATGGTCTCCACCACCACCTTCGTCTTGCGTATCCACCATAAAACCCATTACCACAACAACACTTACCAAAAATGCCCAAATATTCTTTGTTACTTGTTAGACATAAATAGGAATGTCTTTCTGAAACTAGTTTCAGCCATATAATTCTGAATATATAAAGAAAAAAAAATCTGAATATATTTTGGGATTTAAAAATTGACTAGTTGTTGTATGCTATGCTACTAGCCCTCGACAAAATATTCGTTAGATTCGGTTCGCTTCGATTCGATTCGAAAAATTCAAATATCTATAAAATATTGAACCGAAGCAAATATGAAAATGTAGTATTCGTGCAAATAACAAATATTGATTTTCTTAGTGCTGAATATCCGCTTCGCTTCGTATATTTATATATATGTATAAATATAAATCATTATATAATACATATATAATATGTGTATTTATAGATTTGGGTATATATCTTATAGGCCTATTATTCAAATTATTATATTTTGGTCCGTTGGGTGTTTTTGTTAAATGTTCTTCTTAAGCAAATAAAAATTTATTAGAAAAATCAAAATTAAAAATAAAATGTGAGAATTCTATGGACGGTGGTTACATTTTCTTCTTATTTTGAAAACATGTCAAACAAGAACCCCTAATATCTCATATTTTGCACTTTATATTTATGTACTATATGTTTTTAGTTTTCAAAAAATTAGATGGGTCGAAGCGAAGCGAAGTAAGTAATTCGCAAATATTACGAAAAATATTCGAATATTCGAAGTTCCGAATACTCGAAAATTTACGAATCGAAATAAATAGCAAAATCAACTATTCGGTCGAGGCGAAGCAAATAACAAATATCACAAATTTTCTGAATATTCGCTTCGTGCCCAGGGCTAGATGCTACGAGCCTTTCCCCATCGTAGCTAACAAACAAGATAATTAGATTGTGTGTATGTGTGGTTATGTGTTGGAGTATACTTCTACGTTTGAGAATTTTTTTTATTTTTTTTTAATCTATGTGTTTTAATGTCATTATATTATGCCACGAGGTTTAAGTTTTTGTAAAATAATTAATCTATTTCATTATAGAAAACCAAATATTGTTCTGAACAACATTTTTAGTTTTATTGATCCTTTTTATCATTTTGTTTACTATCAAAAGCTTTTAAACTTTCTGATGCACTAGTTGTAACAATACTATTTTTCTTTGAATATAATTTAACATTAAATTCAAAAAAAAATATTGTTCTAAAAAATGGTAAACATATTCATCACATATAGTAATATGAGAAATTTCCTTTGATAGGATGTTTTAAGTTTTTCTTTTAAAAATACCACCATTTGTTTTTTTTTCCAAAAATACCACAAAAGTTTTATTTTTCCAAAAAACCATAAACATAAGAAACTGAATTTTTAAGATGTAGAAATTTTTTTTAATGTTTGGAATGAGTATTTACATTTAGGTGTAGTTTTTAGGGGCATGGATTAGTGTTTAGGTTTTAGGAATTAGTTTTGAATGTTAAAAAATATAAGTTTCAGTGGTATTTTTAGAAAATAAACTTCATAATGGTATTTTAGTGGTATTTAAAAGAATTCCCCTACTAATATTATATATAATACTAATTGTTGATATGCGCTACGGCGTATGATCAATATTATATAATACACCTTCATAATGTCAATTCTTAAATCCCAAATATATAAGCTACGCGTTGGAAGTTTATAAAAAAAAAATTTAGATTTAGATTTTTTTTTTTTTTTTGCAACATTTGTTTTGTTGGTTTTTTATTGCTATCATTTTTTGTTATTCTATTTTTCATATGGGTATTTTTTAAAATTTATCTTAGTTTAGTATTTGAAATGATTATTGTTATTTGTTTAACTGTAAATTAGGCTCAATAGTAGGTATACAATCTTATATTTCAGAAGCCTTCAATTCTTGTAACCCTCACGGCCTCACAAACAGTTATAAATTATCAAGTTAAATAGCTCATTGTATGTATGTATTTAATTAGTTCATCTTGTATAAAAACAACATTATAGACTGACATAGATATAATTTTTTGCATTTCGATTGGCTCTCATATAATAGATATATTGGAGTGTGAATTGATTTTGAAGACATATCATAACTATTTTCTCCTCAATAATAGTCCTTTAAAAAGACGTCGTGTTGTTGTATGCACGTGAACAAAATTGAAGATTCACAAAACGACGTTGTTTTATGGTCGTTGTTTCGAGAGATGTTGAAATTGGCTAATTTCATATAATTGAGGTTGACAATTTGAAATTTTTGGTGAGTTTAGGTTGGTATTTGCATAGTGTCAAATTTTGGGTACTAAAAACTGTCAAGATAAATGAATGAATGAATTTTTAAAGAGTTTAATTTATTCATGTGCATTATTATTTTTTCAAGTTTTTGTAATTTATTGTAAACTCGTTAGACTACAATTCTTTCGTCATTATCTACTATGCACTCATTGCCTTTCTACATAAACTTTATTTTCACTTTCTATTGACTTACATATAACATATATTAGACTATTTTTATTTTCAAAACATATTATAACTATTTTATCTTTAATGATTATCTTTCAGTACTCAAATTTGGATTATAAGCATTTGATTCAATTTATGAAATATAAATTTGTTTTTTTCTTTCTGATCATGTTATAAACTAATATGTATTTCACTTTCAATTTTTTCATGTTTAAAATTTTATATATACAATTACATAATTTTTTTTATTCTATCATAAATTTAAAATTTACTTCCATTCTAAAATCCAGTAACATGTTTAATATTTTAAACTATAATCAGTTTAAAATAAAAGCTGAATTATATTATCACCACTAATAAAACATTATAAAATTACTTTTCTTATTTTATATAATTTAATTTTATTTATATAAGAGTTCTCTTAATTATAAGTAACATAAATATGCACTAAATACATATTTTAAATATATTTAAGTGTAAAAATAAAAATGTTGCTTAGGTGGATGCTTAGGTGGCATCATGAGAAGAGAGAAAAGTTAACTTTATATATATACTAAAATAGGACCCGCGCTACAGCGCGGGAGAATATTCTATCGTAATGTTAAAATAAAAATATACATAAATTATTCTAAATTGTTACATTTATAAATTATGCACATTTATAGTGTGTGTATTGATGGACTAATGTATAAACGATTTCATTTATAAAAGCAATATACATTCACACTCACGTTAATTTTTGGACGGACCAACCTGTGAAAGATTACATTCGTAGAAAAATATACATTTTTAGAAAATAAAAACTCACAAGATATTTTGAAGGGATTAACTTGTGAAAGATTGTTTTCATAAAACCAATATGCATTTGTAATACAAAAACATTAATTCACAATGTCTGTTTTGAAGGACCAATCCGTAAAATATTGCATTATGGGTTTAATGTAAATGACATTATGAAAAGTGGACTGTTGATATTGTTGTTAGATGTTTTAGTATTGTTTTTTATTTTGGGTTAAATGGTGCATGTAAAAAGTAGTTAGAAATTGAGGAAGATTAACAAATATATTGTATTATATAGTTCAATTTGACCATTTTTGTAATAGTTAAAGGTTGAGGAAAGTTAACAAATATATTGTACAAGCAGTTGACCCGCGCTCTGCGCGGGATGTTTATAATTTTGTTTTGTTGATTTTTTATTCGTATTGAGATATTTTATTATTATTTTTAATTGATTTTCAAAAAATATTATAATTATTTTCTCTTTAATTATTATCTTTAAATTTATTAAATAAGTAACATAAATATGCACAAAATAAATGTTTTAAATTTATTTTAATGTTTAAACAAAAATGTGGCTTAGGTGGATGCTTAGGTGGCATCATGAGAAGAGAGAAAAAGCTAACTTTATATATATAGATTTCTACTTAATTATAACTAACATAAATATGCACTAAATACATATTTTAAATATATTTAAGTGTAAAAATAAAAATGTTGCTTAGGTAGATGCTTAGGTGGCATCATGAGAAGAGAGAAAAGTTAACTTTATACACTACTAGCAGTTGACCCGCGCTCCGCGCGGGAGGTTTATAATTTTGTTTCGTTGATTTTTTATTTATTTATATTGTGATATTTTATTATTTTTTTAATTGATTTTCAAAAAATATTATAATTATTTTCTCTTTAATTATTATCTTTCAATACTCAAATTTGGATTAAAAGCAGTTGATTCAATTTATGAAATATCATTTTTTTTCTTTTTGATCATGTAATAAACTAATATTTCACTTTCATGTTTTTTTTCCTCTTTATAATTTTATATATACAATTACATAAATGTTGTTTTAGTCTACTATAAATTTAAATTTTACTTCCATTCTAAAACTCAGTAACATATTTAAAATATTAAATTATGATCAATTTAAAATGAAAGTTGAATTATATTATTACCACTAATAAAAAATTAAAGTATTGTTTTTCTTATTTTAACATTTCATTTTTTTACATAATTTATTTTTATTTATATAAACTTTCTATTAATTAAATAAGTAACATAAATATGCACTAAATGAATGTTTTAAATTTATTTTAATGTTTAAACAAAAATGTGGCTTAGGTGGATGCTTAGGTGGCATCATGAGAAGAGAGAAAAAGCTAACTTTATATATATAGATATATATTTCTATTAATTATAAGTAACATAAATATGCACTAAATACATATTTTAAATATATTTAAGTGTAAAAATAAAAATGTTGCTTAGGTGGCATCATGAGAAAAGAGAAAAGTTAACTTTATATATATATATATATATGTACTAGTTGTTGACCCGCGCTTTGCGCCGAAGGTTTATATCTTTTTTTATATTTTGACTTTTCTTTGGTTTTGTTTATTAGTTTTTAATAGTATTTTTATTACTATTATTTTTTGTTATTATATTTTTCATATGGGTTGTTTTTAAAAGTTTATATTAGTTTAGTCTTTGAAATGTTTATTGTTATTTGTTTAACGGTAAATTATGCTGAATAGTAGGTGGACAACCTTATATTTCAGGAGCCTTTAATTCTTGTAACCTTAGAAACTATTATAAATTATCAAATTGTATAGCTCACCGCATGTATACATTTAATCAGTTCATCTTGTAGTAAACAACCATTATAGAGTGATCTATATATAATTTTTTGCATCTCTATCGGCTCATATAATAGATATATTGAAGTGTGAATTGATTTTGAAAACATATCATAACTATTTCTTCTTAATAATCGTCATTTACAAAGACATCGTTCTGTTGTGTGCAGGTGAATAAAATCGAAGATTCACAAAACGACGTTGTTTTACTCACCTCTAACACCTCGTCATTGTCACCCTGCCATTTGACTCATCACCGTTAAATAGTCATTTATTCGAGAGATGTTGAAATCGACTAATTTCATATAACCGAGGTTGGCAATTTAATTTTTTAATGTGTTTAGGTTGGTATTTGCATGGTATCAAAGTTTGGATATTAAAGAACTGTTGAATGAATAAACGAATGAGATTTCAAAGATTTTAATTTAGTCATGTGCCTTATTATCTTTTCAAGTTTTAGTAATTTATTTTAAACACTTTTAACTACAATTCTTTTGTTATTATCTATTATGGATTTATTGTCTTTCAACATCTACTTTAATTTTACCTTCTATTAGCTCACATATTATAACATATATTAGACTATAAATTGATTTATTTTACATAATTTATTTTTTATTTATATGATTTTTTATTAATTATAAGTAACATATATATGCACTAAATGAATATTTTATTTTTAAAAAATAAAATATTGTTTAAGTGGAATAATTTAAAGAGAGAAAAGCTAACATTATATACACGGAGATATATATATATTATTTCTTTTTACTAACTAAAAACCGAGATATACCATGCCAATCGCTCTCCAATTTAAATTTCTTAATTCTCTTTTCTTCTTATTGTTCAGAAAAGTCTCTTTTCTTCTTACATCAGCTATTAATATAATATCTTTAGAATTTAATTATTAATATATCTGGTCTCTTTCAAAAAAATACGTATATAGTATAATTATTTTCTTTTACTAATTAAAGGTATGTACTATGTACCATGCCATATAATCACCATTTTAAGACCTTTAATTAACTTTCTTTTCTACTGGTACATGATTGATTAACCAGCCCCGTCCACATCCCACAATCATCTTTCTTGCTAAAACCGGCCGTCAATAATTTGTTTTGTCGATGGTCAACACCATTTTTTTGTATTTCATATCAAGATTATGCAATGATCACTAGCATTAATAATAATAAATACGATAACAACATTGATAATAGTAAAAAAAAATGAAAGGTCGGTTTGAGAAAGTGACGAAACTATGCAATGATCACTAGCATTAATAATAATATATACGATAACGACATTGATGATAATGAAAAAAAAAGAATTGAAGTCGGTTTGAGAAAGTGACGAAACTGTGCAATGAGAAGAATTAATAATGATCATATATATAATACATGTTTTATCTAAATTCTTGGACTTGTTGCGTAAAGAGATGAAAGACGTTTCATTACATACCTCTATGACCAATCTTGTATTTGCATTTTAAGGGTTTTGGGGATGATGATGTCTAAAATGGGGCAGTTTTATCACGGCTGAAATGTAATCCATTAAAAGGGATTTGAAGTACTGGAAAAAAAAAACTTACAAATATGGTAAGGCAGCTTTTTCTTATTTTCTAGATAAGACAACGATATGTAAATTAGCACATTTTTGGGTGGGTAGGGAGATAACAAATGAATACAAATTGATGGATGGTTTCCGTCTAAATTATGCACTTTCAAGAATTCTTCCACGGGAAAACCTTTCTATGTAAGCGTTTCCCATAAAAAGGCATAAAGCCTTAATTGAAACCTAAGGCAATAGTAACATAATCAGATATAAACTTTATCAACCAATAAAGTTTTCTAAACCATGAAAAACAAGCTTTATGGGTCATGAAATAATATTTTGATAAAAAAATATGGATAACTAACATGAGTTATTATTATCCAATGAACGATGCTTTTTCTCGAGATTACGTTAATGTGACTTGTAGTAAATAGTCTGTTTTAAAATTTGCTGAGTTATTTTAAGAAGTCAAATATGAAGCTTGATTTTGTTTATAAATCACTTGATGAAGCATGTATAATAATTAAATAAAAGTTAGTGTCACTCTCAACTTCTGCAATAAATTATCTTATATGTATGGTAAAAGAAAAAAACTCTATTGTTGTTGCACAAAAAAAGAACAAAAAGAACAAAACTCTATTGCGAGGAGAGTAAGATCTTCATCATTGGCGAGAAATTACCAACTCATCATTTGAAAAATTACAAACTCTTCATTTGACAAAATTCACTTGTCGTGACTCGTGAGATGTCATTTACCAATATTGAAAATTTTGATATTGTTTTGCGTTTATCTTATTTAGTTATTTTTCTATATAAGTCATTAAAAACCAAAGATAAAATATATGAAATTTTTTTTTAAAGTCAGTTTTCTTTTAAACTCTTGATTGGGACCTATCATGTACTCTTCTGTTTGGCTTTCTTTGAAGACTAGATGATTTCCTATTAATTCTCCACATGTTGGAGATGGTGTAGTCTCCAATCTCAAATTTTTCTTTCAGTTTAGAGAAAATTCATAAAAATTATACCTTTGGTCTATTACACCCAAACATGCTACAATTTGGCCGACGATTTAGAAAAACTAATGTTGCTTTCACTCTTTGTGATGGACTACAAGAAAAAACGAGTTTGGACTTGTTGACTATTGGGTTTTCATAGATGCAATCATGCAAATAAGTTTATTAGTCGTAACGCGGGGAGAGGAAGATTAGTTGGAAATATAGCAACTTGCCTTCACCAACCATGTTCATTTTAAATGCTACATTTATTTTTTATATATTATGTATCAAAATATAAAAGTCTCTCTTATCTATCTAGTTTCAGATCATTTCTTTTAATTCTTTATTCAAGATAAAGAAGAGCCAATGGCGATGAAGAGAACATCACATGTTCTTCTACTACATCTTCTGCTTTGCTTGATGTTTGTGATTGGTCTTGTACAAGCTAGTATACCAGGTTAGTTTGAAATCTTTCATGGTTTTGAAAATGAAAATCTTATAATTTGTGAGAGGAGAGTTTAAAGGAAATGTAAAAGAAAAGATTTTAGTTGAATCAATATAACCGCGATTACGAAGAGAAATATAAGCATACGATTTATCGAGTTTTCTTTAGTCGATCGATTAGGAAAATAAAGTTGTTTTAAGAACCAAAAGCTTAACAATTAATCGCACAACGACATTGATATATCGGTTTTATTTTAGATTTCCTTCAAATTGTACATGGAATAAGCTAATTACTATCATTGATATAAAGATATCTTGGTTATGAAATAGGTGGCGATATGGGTCCAGAAATATATACTCCACCATCAGGATCATGTGGAACACCTATTGCCAAATATGCTTCATCCCAAGTACTAGTCAAGAGACCACCACCATGTAGACGTCCTCGACTTGGAAACCAAGAAGATGTGACCGACACCACACGATCTTGAAATATAAGAACAATATATATGTGAATATGTGATGTTGTTTAAAGATTGTCAAAGTGATATATACATTGAGTGACTCCAATCTCGGTCACTACCAATATTTTCACTAAAATCTATTTATTCAATATTTTTTATAGCTTTAGACCAATTAAAAAGAATTATACATTCAATGTCGTTGGGGTAGAATTCTAAATGCAACTTACTTCAGATATTAAACAAATTTAATTAAGTAGAAAGTGTTTGCAATTTTGAACTTCTAAAGATTTTCGGAAGTTACACGAGGATAAATTCCAATAACCTCGGCCATTACAAATATTTTAACTCTACTGATTATTATATATTTTTTAAAGACTTTAAATATATTTAATAGAGTAATAGAAAAAACTATAGATACCAAACAAAATTAGGAGAATTTACAGTCACAATTATTTTATAGAAAAAACAAATCAAATAAAAATGTTATTTGCGTGATTAGATGTTTAGATGCAAATAAAAAAATATCAAGATACAAAAATTCGAACTTCAAAGAGAGCTAATCTAGTGAATTTGTTCCCATCTTCTTACAAATTCATTGTGCTAACTCTAGATCATATAATAAGATAAAGAATTAATTCGAGCATTGGAGGCTAAAAATTGTATGTACCTATAGCAAATAGATAAACTAGGTTTAGCTTGAGAAGTAGAAAGTTAGGTTTTTCATTGGCAGAGATAAATTTGACATAGACCCTAAACTGCATAGTTTAACATACAACGAAGAAGAAATTGTATACTCTGAAGAATACAACATATAGACCTAAACTGCCTAGTTAAATATGCGTTGAAGAAATAACACTAAACTCTAAAGGATACAACAAATGCATAAAACCCAAACTATCAAGTTAAAAGCACGTCGAAGAAAGTACAAAATATACTCGAAAAAAATATTTTATGGAATCGAAACGACCATAAACACAGAGGATGTAACCATAAACAACGCTGACTTAGACTTAAACAACTTATTAACAAGAATAATATCATATTCATGGAACTTTAAGTAAGGATTTTGATGATTTATCGTTTGTGACGACAACAAAATAATGACCAGTTTTACTATAATATATATATATATATATATATATATATATATATATATACAAAGTTATATTTTTTCTCTTCTCCTTCGGCCACGTCAGTGCCACATCAACTGCCACATTATTGTACATTTTTTTTAACTTTTTACATTGGTTTAAAATCACAACACTTTATTTTTTTAACCTTTAATACTCTATGCCATTTTATCTTTTTTCCACATCATAATTTAGCATTTAGTTATTTTTATACTTAAAAGTGGGTTTAAGAAAAAAAAAAGTAATATAATAAAAAAATTCTATGGCAAAATTAAATAAAACAAGTATATATCTACAGAGTATTGAAAATGATGAATTTTCATATAAAATTAATTATATATAAATAACTGAGTTTGAAATTATTAGGGTGAAAAAAATATATTAGAAATCTTAATGACCACTAAAAACTTAACACATGGCAAAGAATACTCAACTCAATTAAAATTTGAAAACACCCGACCCGTTTTTTTTTTAAAAAAAAATTATTAACTAATAGTCTCATACCCACTAATTAATCTAACCGAATTAACTCAATAATAACTCATCATGCACAGCGGAAACATATAAAATCAACACCAATTAATCATCATTAATTAACCAATTATTCAATAACCACAATTTACACCAGCAACCTAGCATGCCTCTAAACCATGTTCCAACAACAATTAAACATATTCATAAACATAACCACCGAGACCCTAGATCATCCTCCTCTCCTCGCCATGATTCCACAAATCACACTATACCTGCACAACAAACACAATGAGATGCGTGAGTATTATCACAAATACTCAGTGAAGCGATCCTCCCATCTACTGAGCTATACACACAAGCATATTAAACCAATCTTAAATGCATTAGATTAACCAAAACAAACAAACCAGGCATAAAAAGACACGAATTACACGCTGTCCAGATTTACGGTTCAGAAATTTGGTGTCGAGCGACACCGACCCTGCAAAAACCCTGAAATCGCCTCTCAACTCCCCAGAGAACAAATCCATCACCTCCAAAGCTCCAGCCATGAGCCCTAACACTCAAACATACAATAACAACAATCAAAACACACAAACATGGCCATATAAAACAAATCCAGCCATCCAAATCAATTAAACACATATAAGAAGGGTTAAACATGCTTAGATCAGCCATAGTCACGCACTCACCTCTAAAACAAGAAGGAACAGCAACGAAACAGGGACTAGCAAGGGTGAAACAACCTCCACAGACACCAAACACCACGGATCTAACCTCCTCTAGCCTTGAACCACCAAAAACAAGCTTCAAACTCACCAAACACTCACTCAAAGGCACCAAATGATCAACTCACACTCTCTGCTCTATTCTTAGCTTCTAAAAGCGGCTGAAAAGAGAACAAGGACGACCTTTTCTCTTGTAAAGCGTCATTTAGGGTTAATCCCAAACCAACCCCAAGCAAACCGCAATTAAAATCGAACCCATCCAAACCAAAAATTGTTGGTGTCGAGCGACACCCTCCCTTGGTGTCGATCGACACCACCTATTTTTGAACACGGGCATTAAAGGGTGAGGACCTGGGTTCGAGGAACGTCAGGCGCACCAATAACCTATCTGGTGGGCCAGGAGGGCATGTGGGCCAGGAGAGTGCCTACATGCGCAGATTGGGCCCACATGAGAGAGGTTAGATTCGATGCGTTGCAACGCTGTAAGGATGCCATGTGGCGAGGTGTGCCACATGGCGGATGATCCCACATGGCGGGTTGTTACAAAATTCATGGTGTTATAATTTAGGGAATATGATCTATAATGCCAGTTTTACACCCAAAAAAATTGGAACTGCCGGTTTTCTTTTGGTCTTCTATGCAATGTCATACACAGTGAAAAAGCTGTCGGAGAATAGACAAAAATACCCTCTGCCAAAGAGAGAGCATTTTGCACGGTTTTTAAAAACTTGAGCAGATGGGACATTATTTTCGGCAACTACATGGAGCATTAATTGGTGACAATGTAAGATATACCCATAGGATAATTGATTTAGGCTATGAATGGAAGTGCAGATAAAATACAGTTCTACTGTATGAGCAGGAGAACTGCACATTTATTCCCATTCACCTTTTAAATTTAATTATAAAGCAATTCAATTTTTAAAACAATAAAATATTATTGAACTGCATGCAGTTCAAAAAAACAAGATCTGCCACCTACATGAGTCATTCACCTATTAGGGAGTGGTATAAGCGTGTATCTGCTTTTTACTTTTTCTTTTTGTTTTCTTTGCTTTTTTAACAGCTTTCTCTTTCCTTTTTTTAAATTTTTAAATAAAAATAAATGATTTGCAATTGTTCTACAAAAAAAGCTTGATCTGCACTTGTTTCACTTGATCTGCTTGAAACGCTCGATCCGCTTTGCCTAATATGCTTTCTCAATTTAGAGCCTTAGATTGTGTTTAAGAGCAAATCAAAAACGAAAAAAAAAGGTTTTTGTCCATCCTCTTGTCTGGTTCTGCACACCCTAGTTGTCCACCATCCGGGCTGCTACCATGGACTTGTTGCTCATATTGTCCACCCGGTATAGTGGACAACATACCTTCATCACCTACTATTTTACTCGTCTATGGACAACTAATGGCTCAAATGTGTCATGAATACTTGTCCAATATTTTCATCATATTTTGTCCACCGGATCTGGTCCACTAGATCTAATCCATCTACAGACAAATGTGTGATCCAAAGCGTAAATTTAGTTGGATTGTGGATGACGACGTTTTTCATAGATGCATTATTTGTTTCATCCTCTGGTCAATCAGTTGTGGTTTTAAGAAATTTTAAAATAGAGAAGAGTAATTAGTAAAAATTAACAAGTTTTGGTCTACCGATTTTGATCTACCATATCTAGTCCACTGAGAGAGAAATGCAAAATCTGGCTGATGGATCTGGTCCACCGGGTGTAGCACATATTCGAAAACATCTTTACTCATCCATAACAGAAGCATGTAGATAAAATAGATGTTGTATTGAAACAAAATAAGACTCTAAAAAATTATTAATGGATAATTAAAAAACAAAGTGGAAGAAGAAGAAGAGATATAAACAAAAAGAAAGAGAAACAAAAAAAGTGTCGGAGAAAGAAAAAGGTGAGTGAGATGAGAGAAAGAGGAATTAATTTTTTTTAAAAAAGAGAGACAAAATCGTGTTTGTCGCTGCTGAATGTGGCAGACGGGAGAAGCCAATTAAGAAAGTGGCAGTCTATACAATTTTTGTCGCTGTTCATGTCAATCTAGACAATTTTCTCTATAATTTATCAACACCAAATTTGCCACATTCTTAACAGCGATTTTACCACAACCATTTTTCCACTGTTTGCAAATGCTGACTATTTTTTATATCATTCTCATTGTAAGTAATCTTATTTACGCAGCCTATTTATTTTATTTTAAATTAAATGGTTCGACAGCCCATTCAAATTGTATTTACTGTAATTAAAAGGCTTCCAATAATTTTCTGATTTATGGGCCTAAGTACAAAAAGGACATTTATTATGTATAGATAGATAAATATTCATTCGAAACCACATCAAGCGCGAACACAACCGATTTTAAACACAAGAAAATTAAAAAATGCTAAAAGACAAAATGAAAACACTAGGGGAAACAAATCAGTGGAGTCGCCAACCAAAAAAAAGCAGTGGACTCAAAATAAAAATTTGGGTAACAAAAATTTAAAACTTTTAAAATATAAGGTTATAACATCTACTATTGGGCCTAAATTAAAATTAACAAATAACAATAAAAGTTTCAAATACTAAACTAATAAAAAAACAATTCATATGAAAAATTGAATAACAAAAAATGACACAGTAAAAAACTAACAAAAAGAAAAAAAACAAAAAACAATGAAATATCAAAATATTAATAAAAATATATAATTAAAAAACATCATAAATATCCCACGGGGATCAACCACTAGTAGATAATAAAGTTCAAAAAAAACACAAAGTTGAATGAAAGAGTTGCCTACGGCCAGTTCTACAACTTATTATTAAACCCAAAAGTACTCATAACAGAAAATATAAAGCAACACCAAACCAAGAAGACAACCATTGAGAAACACTACTCACTTGTAGTACTTGCAGCTGCATCCATCTCAGCTACAATGTCCGCTGCCTCGGTCCCAGCTACACTTTCCGGTGCATCGGTGGCAGCTACAGTTTCCATTGCATTGGTCATCCCAGCAACAGTTTCTGCTGCATCAGTGGCAGCTACAGTTTCTGTTGTATCAGTCTCAGCTCCAGTCTCCACTGCATTGGTGCCATCTTCAGTTTCAGTTTTAATAGTAGCAGCGACATACTCCGCAGCATTGGCCGCAGCTAACAGCTTCTTCTTCTCGAGAAATTTCTCGATGTAACCCTGTTTAACAATCATAACTAAATCCATTAAATCTCATTTCGAGAAAAATTAAATAAAACTTAAATGATCAAAATGTGTTACCTGTTTATCAGATTCAGAGAGATTGCTCCACATGCTCCCAATTTTCTTGGTGAGAGATCCCTTTGGTCCAGTACCAAACTCGGCTTTAAGCTTAGCGTATTGCTCAGAAAAGAAGAAGTTATAAGCACTTCTTAGTGGCTTAGGTAGCTGAGGACCCTCCTGATGATGAGAAGTTTTGGCTCTCTTATTCTTGCGTCTTCGTTGAGTTTCAGGAGGCGCTTGATCAGGCATGTGGTAAAGCACTCCTTTGAGCTCTTCCGAGCCTATCTTCACGGTTACAAGGTAGCCGCCATCGAATTTCCCATCGATAACCCCATTAAGCAACAAGCCAGGTTTTGCTTCTTCAACGTCTGAAATATTTTTTCAAAAAACATAATCTCAACACTCAATATAAGATAAAAGAAGAGAGACTAAAAACATTGGACTATATATATGGGTACAAAACAACATGTAACATATCCAAAAACATCATAGAATATTTAAGTACCCTTGTCGTCACGGTTTGCAGATTTCTCAACAAGGCGCATCAATGCTTTTTCTGCCCAAAAAAGAACGAACAAAGTATATTAATATCTCTAATCATTTTGGAGAATTATATTAGAAAGATAGATATTAAGAAAACATGATTTGGTCATTTCATACCTCTCCCCGGAAACTCATCGAGTGGAGCTTGGAAGTAGTACACATGTTCAAATGCAAACAACATTTTACGATAATTTTTCCTTAGAACAGCTGCTGCATTTGAAAGTGCTCCCTTGAACTGTAATGCCTCCATCACTTCTTTGCATCTACGATCCTTGATCACCTAGATATTGATATATATATATGTATAGGATTAAACTATAAAACATGATCGTACGTTCTTGTATGAATGCTTTAATGAATCTAAATTATATATATAGCTTCAAAACTTCATGTTCAGTGACACTATTGAAGAACTTGTTACCATTTCAAGACCACCTCGACAAGTGACCTCGCAGAAAAGCTGGTGCAGATCGAGACGGTCTCCACACACAATAGGAATCCTTTTACAAAATTAAAGAAAAACAAAATTCAGAAATATTCCAAGAAATGAAATCTTATGGATGAGAATAAATCATTTTAAGCACAAACAATGAACATATATACATATACATCAAAAGATTCCCAACATTTTACCTTTAAAACAAGATATTTGCCATTAACGGTAACCAAAAAAAAAGACACACTCTTAAAAACTCTTCATGGCTTAGCAATTCAAAATCATATCAAAATACATGAGTTATTTTTTAAAAAAAAATAGGTTTTGGGCCAAGGCCCATATAAAGTATTTTAGGAGTGCATCTCTTTCTAGGTTTTTCTTTAAAAAAACCGCCGCCCTCCAAACATTGCTCGAATCTAGGAAAACACGTCTTCTTATCACTTTTCGAAGGCGATGCCTATGTACACGTCATTAATAACCCACCACACAAAGGATCGAGAACAAAATTGCAGGAATCTCTACTAAATCTATCAATTTAATGAAGATTATGATTTTTTTTTCATCCACAATAATAATTTGCAAATCAGTAGCTTCGTCAAGAAATGTAGAACAGAAAGAAAAAAATAATTTATGAAAGGAAAGGAAGAACTCACTTAAAATTTCTTTCAGAAGATTTGAAAAAACCTCGGAGTCTATCCCAAAACAGTTGAGGGTTTTGAACAAGAATTTGATACATTGATGTACGAGAGGAATCGCCTTTTTCTAACCCAGAAGAGGCAGTAAGAACAACTTTAACTTGAGAAGGATCTGTCGACATTTGTTTGGGGTGTTTTTTGGTCAAAGGTTAAAAAAAATTTGGTTCAACCTTGAGAAGTAAAATGAACTTTCATATATATATATATATATATTTAACCTTCTTATCTAGGATTAGAGGTCAAATGTTTATATAAATTTTTTCTTTTTTTGTCTCCACCACACAAAAAACAACACTACATCCTTAATTAATTTTAATTTACAGCTTGTAGCATAAAGTCAAACTAATTGTATTATTTTTTGAAAAAAAATGGTAGTAAAAGGATGAGATTTTATTGATATTAAAATCTGATGTAAAGTGAATGATTTTTGCTTAAATATTGTAATAATATATGGACCGTTATCAATTTTTGGTTATATCGTATTTGATAAAAACATGCAACTGATATATTTTTTATCGTTTGATAATATATAAAAAAATAGTACCAAGATGAATCCAATAAACGAAAACATTAAAACTACAAACATCATGATTCTCCTCACCGTCCACTACTCCACTCCGTCGATCGCCCTCTATCCTAGCATGAAGCCAAGCCAAACTAGGCATGACCAAAAGCTAACCTTAACCGTATTTCTAGCCGTAATCGGATCGTTTATCAACCATAACCGAATCGTAACCGTATAAAACGGTTAAAAATTATAACCATTAACCGTACAAGTAAATTAGTTACGGTTATAAAAAAATAACCGTAATCGCTAATTAACCGTAACCGTAATAAACCGACGGTTAATCGTATAGTTAAACGCTCGGTTAACCGTATATTTAAATCCTTAAAACAAATTATATTATAACTGTATACAGTGAAAAGACACATCAAATGTTTGGATAAAAAGCAACACAACAAGTTGAACTCGTAAATAATCAAAACATTTCATACTAAACTATTTTTACTCTTATCTAGGGATACCGGAGAGTTTAGGAGGAGCTAAAACTCAGATATTCTCTTTTGTGCGGGACAGATTAAATGCACACATAAATGGGTGGTCTGCTAAGTTGCTATCAAAGGGAGGTAAAGAGGTAATGATTAAGTCAGTTGCCTCAGCGTTACCTACTTATGTTATGTCTTGTTTTTGGCTTCCAAAATCGATAACATCCAAATTAACAAGTGCAGTGGCTAAGTTTTGGTGGAGTTCAAATGGTCAAACTGGTGGTATGCATTGGAGGGCATGGGATAAACTATGTTCGAGCAAGCAGATGGGGGGTTTAGGTTTCAGAGATGTAAACGATTTCAATTCGGCTCTGTTAGCTAAACAGTTATGGCGCTTGATGGAGGCCCTTAAAAACAGTTCGCGAAGGTTTTTAAGGGTCGCTACTACCGGAACTCCAATCCTATGGAGCCAATTAAATCATATTCTCCATCTTATGGTTGGAGGAGTATCATATCAGCTAGATCTTTGGTAAATAGAGGACTTATCAAAAGAGTGGGGTCAGAAGATACTATTTCTGTTTGGTCAGATCCCTGGATCCCATCTCAATTCCCAAGACCAGCATCAAGTAACGGATCGCCTTTAGACCCGTTTTTAAGAATTCAAGACTTAGTCGATCGGCAAAATAATTCTTGGCGTACAGAAGTATTGCAGGAACACTTTGCTTCAGAAGATATCCAAGTGATACGTGCTATTCCAGTTGGTAATAGACCATCCGGCGATGTAATTGGATGGCATTTTACGAAGAATGGGAAATATACAGTTAAGTCGGGGTATCAGGTTGCTCGAATGGCGGGTCCGAGGAGTCCGGTTCTCACGGTATATGGCCCAGATATACTTCCTCTCGTGGCGAAAGTGTGGAGTATGCGGTGTCCTCCAAAACTACACCATTTCATGTGGCAATTGCTGACAGGTTGTATTTCGGTTTCCGCAAATTTAAAACAAAGGGGAATCAATTGTGATGCCAGCTGCACTCGTTGTGGCGATTTATGGGAAACTGTTAACCACGTCATCTTTGAATGTCCTCCGGCTCGCCAAGTTTGGGCGTTGGCGAATGTTCCGGTGGGGGATATTTCATTCCCCACGGGATCAGTATACTCAAATATGGATTATGTGTTACGATTAACACAAACAGGGGACCAATTGGCTTTTTGCCCATGGTTGTTCAGGTATATTTGGAAAGCGCGAAACGCTAAGATTTTGATAATCTGGATACTAACTCACTGGAGGTGGTGAAGGTAGCCAGAGATGAGGCACGTATTTGGCATGACGCACAGATCGAAGAAGTAGATATCCCGCTAGTTCTCCCGGTGGACAGGCAACAAAGGGTCTCTGGGGTGACTGGACGTAACGTCCAACTTCCCCCGCTGTTAGCTGGCTCTCGGTGTTTCATAGACGGATCTTGGAAGGATTCTGATATATATGCAGGCTTAGGCTGGTTTTGTCAATCTGCTATGGAAGCGCCACCGATAATGGGAGCATCTAACCGCTACAGAAGTCTATCTCCTCTCCATGCTGAAGTTGAGGCCTTGGTGTGGGCTATGCGTTGTATGATTGGACACAATTTTCGAGACGTGAGTTTCCTTACCGACTGCTCTGATTTGGTGAAGATGGTGTCTTCCCCACAAGATTGGCCGGCCTTCTCTGTCTACTTGGATGACATTTTCACAGATAGGGAATAATTCTCTACCTTTTCCTTATCCCTTATTCCTAGAACTCTGAATATAAAAGCGGACTATTTGGCACGCCAAGTGCGTACCATGCCGCATCTGGTTAAGTTTGTAAACAATTTCCCTTCGACTTGGCTCGTTTGAGTCAATCTTAGGCCCTCTGATGACAAAAAAAAAAGAAAAAAAAAAACTCTTATTTCCTTGTGAATTTAATGTTGACTTTCTCAGTTTCGATCCAATACCCAGATTTAACTAGTTTACTATAAATATTTGAAATCACATATATCTTTTACTTGTAAAATAAATAGTATTTCATAATATTTTATCTTTAATATTAATATTATAATAATCATCAAATAACCGTAACCGTATTAACCGTAACCGTAATTAATCATAACCATATATAACCGTAACTGTCTTAACCGTATAGATAATGGTTAAAGAAAATTATAACCGTTAACGAATGGTTATCATAATCGCATTAACCGTAACCGTGGTCATACCTAAGCACAACCTCCTAACGCCAGATACGAGGTAAGACATCCATCTCATGTGACGCTAAAATCATTAAGCCAAGATGCATGGACATTATATTCGAGAATACCTGTAGCTGGTTTCGTCTAACAAATTTAGAAAAAAAAATTGGAATAGGACAAATTTTCAAATATTTTTCTGTAAATAATATTTTTTGGTCAAACATTTTTTAACAGTAAACGTTTATAATATTTAAATTATAGATAGTAAACTTCACTACAGAATTATTTGAGGACCATCCATTTTATGAAAAGAGTCTAGCAAAAATCAGACTTACTACAAAAAATGACCGATTTCTTACAGACAAATCCGTAAGAAAATGGTAGGAAACGTTTATTTCTTTCCAATTTTCTACAAAAATATTGGTAGAATTCCGCAGAAAATCGTATATGGTAAGATTTTGGAAGAAAAATTTCTACCAAAATATGTTGTAGGAAATCTTGTAAGCTTTCTCGTAGGAACGGGGAATCATATTTTTGACCATTTTCCTTCGAATAAGACGTAGGAAACGTTTTCCTTCTAAATTTCTACCAAACAATTCTCTTTTATTTTCCTACACATAACAGTTTCTATCCATTTTCCTACCAATTTTTTCACTCGAATTTCCTTCCAAAATTTCATTCAAATTACCTACCAATTACTTTCCTACGATTAATTTTGTAGGAAACATGAATAATTTGTTAATTAATTAAATCCGATTTAGATTCAGATTTATTTGATTTTGGTATCAAAAATTTTAAAAAGAAATTATAAATTAATAAAGAACGTCAATTATTTATCCAACTCAAATATCATAGAAGTCAAATTCAGAATAAATTCTACACACTACTCTTATAGAGAAGCTAACTTGAGAAAAGCTGAAGGAGACGGACAATTGAGGCTGACTTAGCTCCTGGAGTTATGTCGCGTCATCATCATCATAGTCACCATGTACCTAGGTGGTCGCATGTCAGGAAACCTCCCCAGAAGTAGCTTGTTGCATTCAATGATATACTTGAGATAAGGGTCATTCTTCATTTCATGTGCCTTTAATGTTTGAATATCTTCTCTTAACTTAGAAATTTGGCGTGGAGCTGTAGACAAAGACGAACATCCTTCATGCAAAAGACTGCTGACATGAAATTTCCATAATTTTCCTGAGTATTCTCCTCATCTCCTGAAAATCCAGAGAACATAAGATTCATGTAGTTAAGAAATGGCTATCACAATTGACCAGCTTATAGTTAGACCAGATCACGAAGCTTACAAGTTCTCACTCAATTATCACAATGAAAACGAACTAGCTTCATTCATTTAGACTAGACCAGATCATGTAACTAGACCAGACCAGATCACAATTGATAAACCAGCTTATAATTTCTCACTCAATTATCACAATGACAACTACCACTGGACCTGAGTTAAGCAGTTACAAGCACAAGTATAAAACCATAGTCGATCCACCACAATATATATGCACTGAAAAGAACTGAAATCCTGTATTAGAGAACTATTAAATGTAAAATATGTCATATATCTAATGTGTTCATGTTTACGAAATTTATGGGCATTCTCACTATCAAATTAAGGCCTTGAATAATTCCTAGTTTTAGGGTAGATTTTGGTTTTAGTTTTTCTAAAAATTTGCCACTGAAGATTCTATAAGATCCTAAAAAATAGATCTCGACGTGAATGTATTTTCTTTCATTTTTCATTTTTTAATTATTTTCATAACTACTTTTTTTTAGCAAAAACCAAAAAAACTAAAATCGAAAAATCCAGTTTAAAAACTCATTCCATTCATGGCCTAAATAGAAACGTTGTAAGTTTTGAGAAACATATGAAAAATCTAAAAGCAAATAGAAAACCAAAAAACTAAAAAAAAAACCCTTAAACTAATCTCAATGGATGACTACTTAGTTGCCTCGAATGCTTAGTGATGAGGTCTGAAAAAACGTAACCACCACCTGTTGAGGTAACCAATAGGTGACAGCTTCTTGGGAGCATCCGGCAAAGTAACGTCTTCGGTTGATGGTTGCACCATGATTCGAAGCTTAATCCCAGCATGACAAAGACCGGTCTTTAAGCTTACAAAGTAATGCACTCCTGGTCTGGTGAGTGTAACTAGATCGTGTCCGGTCTTGTAGACGGCTACAGTAGAAGTTGGCGTGCAAGACTCGAAGTCAAGTTCATTGCTGACTTCTCTAACGTCGTTGATGTGTTTGTTGTATTCGAAAAAGAGAGTATCTCCAACACGAAAGTGTCTATCTTCACTCCACTTTTCATAGTAGTAACTGTTGTATACGCTCCATCCGCTTGAGTCACCGACCGCGTACATCCTACTTGACGGAAGGATCTTGCTCGGTGGTGGTGGTGGTGGTGGAGGAATCTGACGTGATGGGCCATGGATCTTTCTCGATGGTGGTGGAGGACTTGGACGTGACGGGCCAGGGACGACAAGAACATCAAGATTCAGTCCCGAGACGCATTCAATATGGTTTGAGGTGATGAAATAGTGATGTCCTGGTTCCTTGAAGGTCACGACATCGTGTCCTGTGTTGTAAACAACTTTGGGAGAGGAATTATCACATGACTCATACTGCAAAGCGTTAGAGACTTGAGTGACGTCGTTGACGTTCTTGTCGTATTCGAACACGAGAGAATCTCCGACGTGGAACTCCTTATGTTCTGTCCAAGAGTTGTCCTTAATAGTCCAACCATAGTTGGAACCTCCGACTTTGTAGGTTTTAGCGGAGCTTGAACCCAAGAGAAGAAACATGATCACAAGAACAAAGCCAAAGATCTTCTTTGTCACCATGATGAGATATCTAAACTCAGCTCTCTATGAGAAGTATTGTTGAATTTGTGTTTGATAAAAAGTCACGTATGTGCCCTATTTATATAAAGTTACAAGCTCTTCTTATCTTAGTCCTTGTCCTATTATGAATTTAGTTAAGTTTATTTCTTTTTTATCTATATGAACCGAAGTTCTATTTTTTTCATTTCTAAACATAACTAATAGAGTATATAAGATAATGTTCCCTTGAAATTAGAGTGATCACCTTTTTGAATCCTATTCTCATTAGGTTAATTTTTGTGTTTATAATTTAATAAAAATATATCTTATTTACAAAACTACGCAAGGGTTCGTTCATAAATTATATACTTAATTTCAAATTTGTTGTGATCACAAGATTTCTATATAAAATAAATTAATTTGTTGTAAAATTTCGATTTTTAGTATAAAATATCATGTATTAGACTCGCAATCTCCACACAGTGATAACCTCGATTGATCGTATCCAGTAAAATCTCACAGTCTCTTTCAAACCCACATAGCAATGACCTCGAATCCATGTTTGTTGCATAGCCAACAGTAATGCTTTTGTCTTTGTAAAAGATGGGGATCTCGTAAAATATTGTCTACAAGAACTCTAATACCGATTATGACCTTGAGAATCTCTTATTATCCACCCATTGTGGGTACCGGAACTGGCGTTCCGGGCTAACAGCCCATTCCACTTAGGCCCGTTGTCGACGGCCCATTATCGGAGCTGCCCAGCCCATCAGGCGACGTCCAGTAGGAGCCAAGGGTTTGAAAGAGGGAATCAAAACGGGCTATCAGCGGGTCAAGCGGTGCTTTAATGAGAATGGCGCGATTCGCGGAGCGGAGTTCGCCGATATGTTTAATGCTTGCTAGAGTCGTATAAGTAGTAAGAAAAATAACGTGTAAAGGGGCGGATGATTGTTTTGGCAGAACTATACTAAATAAAGACAAACGAATTTCCTTCAGTTATCTCGCAATCCTATTTACGAGTTCGGACAGAGAATTAGGAGCCCACTCGAGTTCATTACGTTTCCAGTTCGTGGATTCCAGCTCCCACATTTTGGCGCCGTCTGTGGGGACACTTATTCCCTAACTCACCGATTCCTCGTTTCTGACCTTACCTCACGTATAGCGAAATGTCGAGCGACGATAGTCAAGTAACCCTCAGTTCTATTCAAAAGTTGTTGCAGGATTTGTCCGGGAGAACAGAACAGCAGCAGACAGCTACAGCTGCGCTCTCGGAGAAGCTCGGAGGATTCGAAGAGCGGTCGACCGCTCAGGTGGCCGCCTTATCCGAAACCGTCTCCGAGCTGTCCAATGCGCACAACGCTTACGCAGCCCAAGTAGACGCGCTGGTGGAAGGGACGTCCGTCAGCACCACGCTCCGCAGATCCCGTATGCTCGACTTTGGTGGAGGGTTGCCGGCAGCGTCACCGGGGGATGGGCGACCAGCTCCCCCAGTCGCTGCGAACTCAGCGGAGAACCAGCCAAGAGAGGCCGGTCTGTCAATGCTAACACCTCCACAGGGGACGGCCGTTCCCAACCTTGGCCGGGAGACTCCACCTCCCACGAGTAGGAACTCCACGCCCGGCCATATCCGCACGCCAACCCAGCACAGGGCAGCAACCATGCCCAATCCGGAGATCTCATTCCTCCAGAGCGAGATCCGGGCCATGCAGTCAAAGGTCCGCCACGCGACGAGCTCCGCCCCCGATATCGATCGAGTTATCGAAGAATCGAAGCGGACTCCGTTCTCGCGTCGAATCTCTTCGATGCGCATCAAGGATGCGCGAAAGGTTAAATTTCCCAGCTACGAAGGAAAAGGTGACCCTAAAGTTCACCTCCACACTTTCCTCCTTACGGTAGGAAGGGTGGACTTCGAGCCTCAAGAGGAGGATGCGGGGTATTGTAAGCTCTTCGCCGAGACATTTGTTCGGCCAGCCCTCCTGTGGTTTGCCTCACTTCAGGAAGGGACGATCGACAGCTTCACCCAGCTCTCCACCACGTTCGTGAAGCAGTATTCGAGCTTCATAGGGGTAGGAGTAACCGACGCTCAGTTATGGAACTTGAGCCAGGGTTCGAACGATTCACTTCGGTATTACATCACCAAGTTTAAAGAAATAATGGTTCAGATTCCCGGACTCTCCGACTCAGCGGCGCTGTCCGCCCTTAAGAACGGTTTGTGGCACGAGTCTCGATTCAGGGAAGAGTTGACGGTTAACCGCCCCTCCAGTATCCAGGACGCCCTTCATCGGGCATCGAACTGGATCGTAGCCGAGGAGGAGAAAGCCGCACTCGCCAAAAAATATAAAGTAACCCCCAAACCGAGCTTCGACCAGGGAGCTAGACGGAGCGGTCAGGGACAAAGGCAAGGACCAGCTTCCTTCGCGGTGGACCACCAGAGGGGGGGCCCTAAGGGCGCCCCATCGAAGCAAGGGTTCGGACCGCGAGGTAGAAACGGGGCCTTACCAAGCAATAAATGGACCCGGGAGGAGCAGGAGGACGATTCTTTTTGCGAACTCCATAAGGTGGCTGGGCATGCAACCCGGAATTGCAAGAAACTCATGCATTTACTCGCTGAAAGGATCATGAATGGGGGGATGCCGGATATAACAATCGACGAGCTCGATCAAGCACAGAATGCAGTTCATCTCGTAGCTGAGGCAGCTCCCGAAGAGGAGGAGCTCCCTTCGACTAAGAAACCGAAGGCGCTTATCGAGGAAATCCCTCAGGAGGCAAGGAAGCGCATCGACGTGATCATGGGCGGGTCTAGGATATTTCGAAACTCTATCAGGGCCATTAAGGACCATCAGAGGAAGTGAAACGAATCGACCCCAAAGAGACTAAAGACGCGCGAAGTCTACCCCGAGATAACTTTTTCGGAAGAAAAGACAGAGAACCTCGACTCCCCCCACGATGATGGGTTGGTCATCACATTGGATGTAGCGAACCACGAAGTGTGCAGTATACTGGTCGATACGGGGAGTTCGGCAGATCTAATTTTTCTGGATACTCTTACAAGGATGGGCATAGATAAAAGTCACATCGTCGGACCCCCGGCTCCCTTGGTATCGTTCACCAGCGAAACCTCGATGTCCCTGGGAACTATAACCCTCCCGGTCGCTGCGCAAGGAGTGTCCAAGATGGTGGAGTTCACCGTTTTCGACCGACCAGCGGCGTACAATGCTATTCTAGGGACTCCGTGGCTGTATCAGATGAAGGCGGTCCCGTCTACCTACCACCAGTGTGTCAAATTTACAACACCTAATGGAGTCCGCGAGATAGTGGGTAGCCAACGTATGTCCAGGAGCTGCTATCTGGCTGGGCACAATCTCTTGGTCCAATAGCAACCACAGCTCGAGGTCGCCAAGAATCCGATGAAGAGTAGGATGAACGGCGAGCTCTACGAAGAAATCCAGCTTAATGAGTTGTTTCCCGAGCAGAAAGTGAAAATTGGGGCAGGCTTGCCCCCAGAGGTCAAGGAGGAGTTGATAAGCTTCTTACGAAGGAACAAGTCAACTTTCGCGTGGGAGGTGAAGAAAATGACAGGTATTAGCACCGACGTGATATCTCACGAACTCAGTGTTAACCCCACTTTCAAGCCTGTTCGGCAGAAGCGTAGAAAGTTGGGAAAAGAACGGGCCGAAGTGGTGAACGCTGAAGTGGACCGACTGCTCGAGGCTGGCCTTATCCGGGACGTCCAGTATCCGGAATGGCTGGCGAACACGGTTGTGGTCAAGAAAAAGACTGGCAAGTCGCGGGTCTGCGTTGATTTCACCGACCTGAACAAAGCTTGCCCGAAGGACAGTTTTCCCCTTCCACACATCGATAGGTTGGTGGAGTCCACTTCGGGGCACGAACTGCTGACATTTATGGATGCTTTTTCAGGATACAACCAAATCATGATGCACCCTGATGACCAAGAAAAGACGTCTTTTATCACGGATCGGAGGACTTTTTGCAACAAAGTGATGCCGTTCGGGCTAAAGAACGCTGGGGCAACCTACCAACGATTGGTGAACAAGATGTTCGCCGAGCTGTTGGGTAAAACGATGGAAGTGTACATTGACGACATGTTGGTGAAGTCGATGGAATCCGGCCAGCACGTCGGGCATCTCGAGGATTGTTTTGCGATCCTCAACAAATTCGGCATGAAGTTGAACCCAACCAAATGTACGTTCGCGGTTCCTTCGGGGGAGTTCCTAGGTTATATTGTGACCGAAAGAGGGATCGAGGCTAATCCTAAGCAAATAAAGGCCTTTCTGTCAATGACTTCACCACGAAATCTCCGCGAAGTTCAGCGCCTAAATGGGAAAGTAGCGGCTCTAAACAGATTCATCTCTAGGTCCAGAGATAAGTGCTTACCTTTCTTCGAGCTCCTCCGAAAGGGCAATAAGAACTTTCATTGGGACAGCCTGTGCGAGGAAGCGTTCGGGCAACTCAAACAGTATCTATCTAACCCCCCTGTTCTAGCAAAACCCGAACTCGGGGAACCCCTATTTTTGTATGTAGCGAACACGGAGACGAAGGCCCGTGGACATTACACGTCGACGGGGCCTCTTCCAAACACGGTAGCGGTGTCGGAGTCAGGCTTTGCGCACCAGCTGGAGAGGTAATCGAACAATCATTCTGACTGGCGTTCGACGCCTCGAAAAACGAGGCCGAGTACGAAGCATTGCTAGCCGGACTCCGATTGGCAGTAGGAATTGGAGTCCATCGTCTTCGCGCTTTTTGCGACTCACAGCTCGTAGCAAGCCAGATTTCGGGGGAGTACGAGACAAAAGATGGACGCATGGGAGCCTATTTAGCCGTGGCAAAGGAGCTGGCCGAGCGGTTCGAGCACTTCGAGTTGGTAAAAATCCCGAGGGCAGAGAATTCCGCTGCCGATTCGCTAGCCTCCCTTGCCTCGACCTCGGATCCCTCCCTGACACGAATTATCCAGTAGAAGTTTTGGAGCGGCCTAGCGTTTGCCTAAGCGAGGTGAACATTCCTACAAGGTCGATGCAGCGTCGGCTCGACAGGGGGGAGATAATCAATGAGCCGCCCGCTGCCCCTACCAGGGCCGCCAGGCCTCGGAAGAACGCTTTGATGCCGGGAAACCTCCTTGTCCCCATAAGCGAGGAGAACTCCGAAGCGTCAACTGGGAATCCAGTCTCTCGATTCCCCTGCGGTGAGGAGCCCGGAAGGGGGGGGGGGGCTCGAGGACCTTTCAGGGCTCTCGGAGGAGGACCAAGAGTTCGATTGGAGGGCGCTTATCCTAGCCTACCTAAGGAAAGGTGAGCTGCCCCAGGATAAGTGGAAAGCCCGGAAGATTAGAACTGTGTCGGCCCAATTTTGCCTACACAACGAGGGCCTGCTCCGCCGTAGTATCGGAGGTCCTTATTTAACTTGCATCCCTGGGAACGCGCCAGGGATAGTGATGCGGTCAATCCACGATGGACCCAACGGGGATCACGCGGGGGCCCGAACATTGGTAGTCAAAGTCAAGCGTTATGACTTCTTTCGCCCAACGATGAAGGCAGATTGCGAAGAGTTTGTAAGAAATTGCGAGAAATGCCAAAGGCACGCCCCCACCATTCACCAACCCTCGGAACTTATGTCGTCAATCTCGGCTCCCTACCCGTTCATGAGGTGGTCGATGGATATAATAGGGCCTTTGCACAGCTCGACGAGGGGGGTGAGGTTCCTGCTAATCCTCACCGATTACTTTTCTAAGTGGGTAGAAGCGACCGCATACTCTGCGATAACAAGTTCTCAGGTTCAGCAGTTCGTGTGGAGGGATGTGATCTGCCGTCACGGACTGCCGTACGAGATAGTGACAGATAATGGGTCGCAGTTCGTGTCAAGGCAGTTCGAAGAATTCTGCGCGAACTGGAAAATTCGGTTGAGCAAGTCTACACCCCGCTACCCTCAGGGAAACGGCCAGGCTGAAGCTATGAATAAGGTAATTTTGGCTAACCTAAAGAAGAGGCTGGACTCATATAAGGGTCGATGGGCCGAGGAGCTGCAAGGCGTGTTGTGGGCAATCCGAACCACGCCTCGGCGGGCAACGCACGAAACCCCTTTTTCGCTGGTGTACGGGACGGAAGCGGTGGTCCCGGCAGAACTCGCTGTACTGGGAGTCCGGGCAATCACGAACCCCACAATGCCCAAGGAGAATGAGGAATCTCTTCAGGATGCCCTTGACTTCGTCGAAGAAAAACGCGATCGGGCTTTAGTTCGTTTACAGCATTACCAAAGCACGATCGCAAAGTACTACAACTCAAGAGTAAGGGGTCGCGATCTCAGCGTGGGCGATCTCGTACTGAGGAAAGTTTACGAAAATACAAAAGAGCTGAGGTGCGTAACGGAGTTTATCGCCTCGAGGAGCTGTTAGGGAAGAAGATCCCCAAATCATGGAATGCCTTGCATCTAAAGCGATTTTACACCTTTTAAAAAAAAGTAGTGATAAACATTTGTAATCGAACTACGGTGTGCTTGATCCCCTTTTCGGGTACGTAGGCAGCTCGGTTGACCGAGTCCAGCTAGGAATAATATTAAGTTCATTATATTTAAGCAAGTTGGTAGTAAAGCGTTTCCGCATCTTAAACGATATAGAGCAAACTTAGCAGAGTTCAAAACGAATATAAGAGTGTGACCTCCGTGGTCAAAAACATTCGTGCGTAAATCCTAAACAAGTTCAAAAAGTAGGCAAAAACAAAAGGGGGGGTTTTTTAAGCCCAATACAACCCCGAACAGAAAGCTAAACAGGCCCGGAGCTCGCAGCAGGGTCATCTGGGCCGGCCAAAGGAGTTCCAGTCGCCTCGCCGACAGCAGCCTCATCACCCACAGGGTTCATAAAAGCTTTTACCTCCTCGCTGAGGCCTGGCCGGATTGCCTATAGTTCCTGGTTCGGTACAACAGGGGGGTCAGAAGGGGGCTCCTCAATCATAAGGGAGGCAGGAACGGGATCAGGCCCGAGTTCGGGATCAAACGTTAAGTCCTTTACCTTTTCAGCCTCGAGGCGAGCTGCCTCCTCGTCAGCCGTTAGGGTTTCGAGCTCCTCCTTCAGATCGGCAATCTCGCCTTTCTCGATCTCTTCCACCAGCATTCGGTTGGCGGTGATCTCGGCAGCTCGGATTGCATGGGGGAGTAGGCGGTCATGCACCTCGAGGTGGGACCCGATTTTGTCAATCGTATCCCGGAGCTCGGCTCGCGTTTTCCTCCGCTCTTCTCTCCGTACCCTCTCCATCTCAGAAAGGTTCCCCGCCTCCAGGAGTTGATTTCTTAGTTTGATTTCCTGGAGCTCCTTCTCTGCCTCCGTTTCGGCGGTAGTCGCCTGCAAGTACAGCTCCCCAGCCAACTTTAGCTTGTCTTGGCAAGTCTCTAAGGAGGTTTCGGCAATCTGCAGGTCAAGCTCGACGGTTCTGAATTTCTTGTTGAATTTGGCCGCTTTCTCGACCTCAGCTCGGTTGGAAGCCTCCAGGGATCTGTACTTCTTTACCTCTTTCTCTAGGTCGGAGACCCGAGCTTGTAAAGCACCTATTTCGGTGGCTGAGGGGCTGGCGAAGAGTTGCTCTTCGTAATGAGCCACCGAGCTGTTAAACTCAAATAGCATCTGCCGAGAATAAGAAGTATTAGTAAACATCGTGCAGACTCAAGAAGTATTCACTTGTGAAACGAAAGGAAGTAGGCTTACCTCGCCGACCTTCTCGGCGAAACGGAAGTAGTCCTCCCAGTTGTTCACGGACATGTCTTCGAAAGCAGGGACTCGAGCTCCAGGCCGGCTAAAGCTCCGCATCATGTCAGCCAAGGATTTTGGAGGAGCTAGAAGTAAAGGTTTTAGGTCAGCTCGGAGTTACGTATATATTAAAAAGCGAACTATCAGTAAGTGACTTACCCGGGAGTTCGCGCCTCGGAGCTGACTTCGGGTCAGCAGAACGCGGACCTGCGGGCAGAGAGCTCTTTGGCGTAGGGGGCTCAGCGAGCTTCTCCTCAGTTCTCGGCTTGGAGCTCGCACGCGTAGGACAAGCAGGTTCCGCGACCTTCCGCTTTTTAGACCCACTAGCCTGGCCTTCCTCAGGGGCTGGGCGAACGGCGGGAGATTCAGCGCTGAGGTCGCTGTCGGGCAGAGTAATCACCTCGCGGCCCGCGCCCTCCGGGGGGGCGACCGAACTGGAGGACTTCTCCTTCAAAGAAACCTTGGCCTTGGAGTCTGTCAGTGCGGCGACCATTTTCTTCTTCAGTTCCTTCTCCTTCAGCTCCATCTTTTTCTTGTGAGCCCTCTCCTCGCGGTAGTTCATTTTGGGGAGGGCGGACTGGGGAGAAGAGATAGTAAGGAAACTAGTGCGGATGCGGGCACCGGCCTCGCGGATTCGGGGGCAGGTGAAGGAATCCCACGCCGTTTCGGCACCACAGAAAGTAACAAAGTAGTCCGCGAAGGTTTGAGATAACGGCCCACGGTCAAGGGAGGCTGAAAAAATAAAAAAAAGAAAAGTTAGTACCCCGAACTGATAGTTGGCAGTAGGGAGTTGTCGAATTTCCTCGCAGTTCTACCAGGTTTCTGAGACCACTGCGGGACAACCAGCTCTTGCAGATCGCCAAAGGTGTCCCGGTTAACCGGGAAGAAAAAGTAGCCGCTCCGGTATTGTTCGTCATTTTCGGGGAAATTTTCAAAGACTCGAAACTCGGCCAGCGGGCTGAGATAGAAGGTCCCTCTAGTTCGGCCACTCTTTATGGTGTAGAGGTGGAGGATGTCCTGGAAAGTGATAAGGTAGCTGTGCTCTTCGGCTAAGGTTTGGAGACAGAGGATAGTCCGGACAAAGTTCGGACAAAGCTGGGGGAGGGTGATGCCGAGGGCAAACATCGCCTTCACCAGAAGCTCCGGCAACGGGAAGTATAGGCCGCACTTTGAGAAAAATATCTCGTAAGCGCAGCAGTACCCGGGAGGAGGATCCTCCGGCGAAAGATCGTCCCCCGGAGCGATTAGCTCCGTCTCTGACGTAAGGCCGCAGAGGAATTTTACGTGTACCAAGTCCTCCTCGGCTATCGTGGACTTGGGGTGCGGGCCAAATTGACCGGAGACATGGTTGATATTAGAGTCAAGTATGGAGGAGAAGCGTAGATAAACAGAGAGAGGAAGAAGAAGCAAGAGGAAAACGAAAAAGAAAAACGAAGGAGGAAGGCTCTACCTTTATAGCGTCTCGGCGGCTGCGATTCAATGATTGCCTAGGGAAGCTAGACGGTCGCGTCCTTTATAGCTAGCAACCTAGGGATTCCGAAGCGGCAAAACCGGGGCACGGTAATCTGAAAAGGCAACCTCGAGTAAAAACAAATCAATCATAGCGGATTCGAGAATCGAAGTTTATTTAATTATGTAGCATTAAAGCCTCCCGAACTGGTTCACTTCGGAAGACTTGGGGGGCTTACTGTGGGTACCGGAACTGGCGTTCCGGGCTAACAGCCCATTCCACTTAGGCCCGTTGTCGACGGCCCATTATCGGAGCTGCCCAGCCCATCAGGCGACGTCCAGTAGGAGCCAAGGGTTTGAAAGGGGGAATCAAAACGGGCTATCAGCAGGTCAAGCGGTGCTTTAATGAGAATGGCGCGATTCGCGGAGCGGAGTTCGCCGATATGTTTAATGCTTGCTAGAGTAGTATAAGTAGTAGGAAAAATAACGTGTAAAGGGACGGATGATTGTTTTGGCAGAACTATACTAAATAAAGACAAACGAATTTCCTTCAGTTATCTCGCAATCCTATTTACGAGTTCGGACAGAGAATTAGGAGCCCACTCGAGTTCATTACGTTTCCAGTTCGTGGATTCCAGCTCCCACACCCACTTGTAGCCAAATATGTATGATAATAAGCCACATATCTTTCCATTGAAACGATCAAAGAATAATGTTTTTTTCATAGAAATTATGTAAAAGCATGGGTGAGTGGGAGTAGTTGGTGAATTTTTATTTCAGAGAAGCTTTATTTACTTTTATATATATCCAAAGTCTTTTGCTACGGTAATGAAAAATTAGACCACAAATGGCTCCACAGAAATCACATTTAGTTTCTCTTCTCTTTTTTGTGCTTCTTCTGCTTTTATTTCTCTCCTTTCAAGTTGGATTTACAGAAGCCAGACGCCGTTACCCACGTTAGTATTTACACTTATTTTCATGTTTTTTGTTTTTTTCTTCATTTCATTTGTGGTTTTTTTTTTATAATTCCAAATGATTATATAAAGTTTCTAAATTTCATATCACATATCATACTTATGAATAATCGAAATTATGTAGTTTTTCAATATATTTAGAGTTTATCAATGTTCAAGAAAACTTATTAATTGGATAAACTAATGAAACAATCTTGTTAATATTATGAGCAGGCCCTCCACCTCCCCATTGTTATTATGTACCTCCTTCGACATCTTGCAGAGGAGGAGGAGGCAAGTGAACAAAATGCATTTCTATTATGAAGAAACAATTTAATATATATATATATTTGCTCAAGTTTTATGATTGTATGTTTAATTAAATAAATGGTGTCTTTTACATCAGTTTGAATTGGCTGTGATATATATATAACTAGTCTCAAGCTTGGTTCAAATTTTCTTGTAGTGTATATGCTTAGAATGTGTTACAGATAACACGACTTAATATATAGTCGCAAAAGACCTTGATAGTTATGATTAATGGTGATTCAAATAGAGGTCATAACTTTTTCTTTGTGAGTGAAAGAAAAATTACTCTTATATATCTAAAACACAAAGTAAAATTACATCTAATTAAGGAGTATGAAAGAGTTCCCAACGATCAATTTTTTTTGCTTTTGTAAACGCATTTCAATTAGTTATAAAATTGTTTATAAAAATTAAAAAAGAAAAAATTATAATTGGTTCAAAATGCGTTTATGACTGCGAAAAATTGATCGTTAAGAACTCATTTATATTCCTTTACTATAATTTTCTCCTTAGATTTTTAAACTCATTTGTTTGAACTCATTTATAGGTACAGTACTATATATACACTTTGTTCTTTTGTTCTTCCAATATTTTATGAAATTATGATTTTAAAAATATATAAGATTACATAATTGACGACGAAAAGTATTTTTATTTTGAGTAATTTTAATCAAATTAGATTCATGAATCTGTGAATCTCTTGGCTCCACCAAGTCGATATATTGATATTATGATGCTTAAAATTAGATCAAACATATACACTATCAAGATCATGCGAAGCTCCTATTGCCAAATACGATTCCACCAAAGCTCCTCGACCTGAAAACCAAGAAGACGTAAAGCACACCACACGACCTTTGATATATAGGTCGAAGTGATGCGTGGAGTGACTCCAAGCTCGGTCATTACCAATATCTTTCAATATACTGATTTATTAGATATTGTTTAAAGATTTTAATTAATAAATTTAGCAAAAAGTATAGATATTAAACAAAAGTAAGAGAGTTTATAGTCGCAAATTTTTTCTAACGATGAAGAACTTCAATACAACGAAATTACGAAAGTCGAACCAATTACAATGTAAAAATCAAAAACCAAAAATATGTAAAAATAAATCAAGTAATAAGACTCATGTCTCACCCTAATCGATGTTTGTTCCTCTCAATGTGCTCTTGCAGCAAGATATGAAGTAATCCGTTCTTCTTTCGTTAAACTACAAGCCATCTCTCTAACTAACGAATTACTTGATTATCTTGGTTGGTGGAGGTATTGTCGCATTTATAGAAAATAAATAAACGTAATTTGCCTAAGAATTTTTTTTTTTTTTTGTCATCACGAATTCATGATTAGATGTTTCAGTTTGTCTAATAAAATTATATTTTTAGAATATAAATAAAACATAGGATTTGTCATATAAATACACATCATATTACATACTAATTAAGTAATTAATTAGAACAGAATGAGAATAACAATGTATTTCTGGTTAATTAAAGAAAAAGAAAGCTAAACCATAGTTTGTCTCCGCATCTTTTTGGATCTTGCGACGGGTGAGTAACGCTCTCACACACACACACACACACTAGTTTTGATTTCAATCGGAAAAAATGGCGCAGAAGCTTAACTTGGCAGCTAATCTCGCCGTCCCTCCGGTCACCCACCGCTCTAGTTTCCCCTCCACCTTCACCTTCGGCGTTGCCACTTCCGCTTACCAGGTTCCTCTCTCTCTCCCTTTCAAGCTTCTAAGATCTGGAGTCTTATCTTCTTCTTTCTACTCTCCGCTTCGTCTTCTACTTACCTATTCTACCAATTTCTCGATTCACTTGAAAATGTTGATTCTGGGATTGAAGTACGAATCGGATTTAGGAAGATTAGATGATTCACATAAGCTGTATTGTATAAGTTAAGAATCAAATTGTTTTAGGTTTCACTGAGCTAAGTGTTAATGGTGGTTTTTGTTTGTAGATTGAAGGAGGTTGGAATGAAGGTAAGAAAGGACCAAGTATATGGGATAAGTTCACTCATCTTGAAGGTATGTTGTTTCCTTCTCAGCTTTATCCTTATCTCAATTGATGGAAAACTAGGTAGATTAACACTGTTTGTTCCATCTTGTTTAGGGAAGATTCTTGATGGGTGTAATGGTGATGTGGCTGTTGATCATTACCATAGATACAAGGTTAAGTAAAGTATTGGTATTGGGTTTAAGAGTTATCTGTATGATATGCATATCTCTTTGCTTATAGTATTGTTATTCCTATACTTTTGCAGGAAGACATTGAACTTATTGGACAGTTAGGATTCAGTGCTTACAGATTTTCTATATCTTGGTCTCGCATTTTTCCTGGTATGTTCAACTATATTGCCATTTAAACTTGCTACTTTTTGATTTATTTTGCCTGTTTTTAATTGAAATCTAGATAAAAGCTATACTGTGATGTCACTTCATATTCGTTTTTAGTTTACAACTTGTGTCCCCTTTTTGTGTGTTCTGTATTTTACTAATCATCCCTCTCTGTTTCTTTATGTTCCCCAATCGTAGTGTAGCACATGTCGTAGTTGTTGACAATGCCAAATACATATTTCTTTGCATGGGAAGAATATTTTTATCAGTTTTGATATGATATGAGGGAAACTCTTGTTGTTGGAAGGTGGACTTTTCCTTTAGAACCTTCATTATTTGATCTCCAATTTTGGGTGGTCATCTTGTTTGTCTCTTCATCTTTGAAATGATCGGTATTTCCTATGAGATCCAGGATCTTCAAAACCGTGGCGTTCCCTCAAAAACATGATTTCTTGAGTTCCTTTAGCATTGATGCATGTAGCCATGCAAAGGAATTGTAAACCAGTATTTGTTTTTTGTGTTCTGGACTTCCTGAAAAATATAGACGTTTACTAACTGAAGGCATATTGTCGTTTGTTCTAGATGGCTTGGGAACTGAAGTCAATGAAGAAGGCATTGCTTTCTACAACAATCTTATCAATGGACTTCTTGAAAAAGGTATTTACTCTAACTGAAATGAGTTTTTTTCATCTTTGTGTTGATGATACTTTCATGAGATGATTAGTATTACAGGTATTCAGCCGTTTGTAACTCTATACCATTGGGATCTTCCATCACATCTCCAGGACGCAATCGGAGGTTGGACAAATAGGAAAATTGTGTAAGTAGTAAACTGTAACAGACTTCAACTTACGTGTAGTATCTTCATAAGCATAAACACATTTATTATTAGGATTATGGTCTATGGTCCCTTTCTTGTGCAAGTTTAAGTGGGGCAGATTATATTTAGTCTCAGATCACCATGTTTTAGGTTATGCTTCAGAGGGCTAGTATCTTTTTCAAAAGTTTTTTATGACACAGCCTTCCCCTAGGAAAAATAAGGAATGCAACACTTTTCGTAGAACTTAGTGTTTTGACATTATATTTCTTCACGTGCAGCGATTATTTTGGCCTATATGCAGATGCTTGTTTTGCTAATTTTGGTGATAGAGTGAAGCACTGGATTACAATAAATGAACCTCTTCAGACCTCAGTGAATGGACACTGTATTGGTATATTTGCACCAGGAAGAAATGAGAAGCCGTTGATCGAACCATATTTGGCTTCGCATCATCAGGTTTTGGCTCATGCAACTGCTGTTTCCATATATAGAAGCAAGTACAAGGTAGCTTTTTTATTATGGTTAAGGAACCTGATTTTTAATTTATTTTACTTGGACTTTGGTTATGGGAAGATGCATCAAGAGTTTCATTATTTAACAGTGTGCCTTTGGGTTTATATATATTAATGTAGGAAAGTCAGGGTGGACAAATTGGTTTGTCAGTTGATTGTGAGTGGGCTGAGCCAAACTCAGAGAAACTAGAGGACAAGGTTGCTGCAGATAGGCGAATCGACTTTCAACTTGGATGGTAAGTGGGATGCGAAATGAGCACTTTCTTAGTCATTTAGATTAGGAATGGAATCGTATTACTGATGTGTTGAGCTATAAATGTAGGTCTCTGTAGCTTATACCCACGGCTGGACCATCAATTCGTGAAATTTTGTAGTAAATAGTTTCTGCGTTCTAGGTTTCTAGTTTATGATTTTTGATAGTACATTAGTTATCTTTGTGGGGATACTTCATTGGTTTTATGTTTTTGTAATGGGGGGTAGTTCAGAGCGCATATAATCCACTTATTCCACTGTTTCCAAGGGTGCAATGAAGTCTTAAACAGTCTTTGAATCTTTGTGTGTGATACTCCCTTTCTTATTAAATGAGCAGTCACTGTATAATAGGCGTTACATATGTTAAGGTTACATAAATGCCATTATTGTGCTAAGAAAGTGATAATATCAAATAAATGATCATAAACTTGGGTTTGCTAACTATGTGTCAATTGTCAAATGATTTACACACTTGCAACTATATATCATTCCGTGAAATAACAAATTTAAAAATCCTTGGCAGGTTCTTGGATCCTTTGTTTTTTGGAGACTATCCTGCAAGTATGCGCCAGAAACTTGGAGAGAATCTCCCTACATTTACTCCAGAAGAAAAGGAGTTAATGCTTCAGAACTCATGGGACTTTCTTGGCGTAAACCACTACACCTCGAGATTGATTTCTCATGTCTCAAACGTAGAAGCTGAAAGTGACTATTACAGTGCACAAGAAATGGAGAGGGCTGGTAACAAACACTAACACTAAAATTACTTTGACTAATAGCATCTTCTTACTTACTTCCTAGAAATTATTTTCTCTTCTTTTCTGCGCACAGTTGAATACGAAAATGGAGAGCCAATAGGTGAAAGGGTAAGAACTCTCGCCTTAGTCTCCGCTTAATTCTAATGACTATTAAATCTTATGCACATATACTAAAGACAGGTATGCATGAGCTAGTAATCAACTGAACAATGTTTCCCAATTACAGGCTGCTTCGGATTGGCTTTATGTTGTGCCTTGGGGAATCCGAAAGACTTTGAATTACATCAGCAGAAAATACAACCACCCTCCTATATATATTACTGAGAATGGTATCCAACCTATCTTTATAGCTTTATCGTTCAGTTTATACAATGCATAGTTTGTTTAGAGTAGCGGGAGTAGTTTTGTTATCCAAATAAAGTTCGCATTAAACGAGTACTTCTTTTGGTCATATCGAACTTCTATTTTTTATATATACTGAGATTTAGTTCTCTATTTCCAACACAACAGGTATGGATGATGAAGATGACGGATCTGCCTCTATTCATGATATGCTCGACGATAAGCGTAGAGTTGCCTATTTCAAGAGTTACCTTGCCAATGTCTCTCAGGCTATCATGTGAGCCAATATTTTCCCTTCATTTCATAACACTTAGGTAACAGTGTTAGTGTTTTGCTAATGGCGGAAATTGAAACAGAGATGGAGTGGACATAAAGGGATACTTTGCGTGGTCGTTGCTGGACAACTTCGAGTGGGCGCAAGGGTACACCAAGAGATTTGGTTTGGTATATGTAGACTACAAGAACGGTTTAACCCGTCACCCGAAATCTTCTGCTTATTGGTTCATGAAGTTTCTGAAAGGTGATGAAGAAAACAAAGGTAAAAAGGATTGAAAAAACAGATAAAGAAAAGGACAACCAAAGCTACTACTACATTTACATGAATTGCGTTGTGATGTTATAGCTTTTTGTACCAAATAGATATATTAGTTGATGATGATGGTATAGAGGAGCTATATTACAAACCTACTGGCTTGGGCTACTCTTTGGTTTCAAACTCATTTTCTGATTAAAGTTTTCGATCTTTTTACACTCAAAAATTTCAAATTCAAGTACGTCATGTTTACTTTTTCTTACCCAGGGCAACGACGCTTATATTGTATCAAGTTTTACTATATGAGAACCCATTTTGTCTTTGGGTGTGAATGGTTACAGCCTCACAGCAGTTTGAGCGGACAAAACCATCTACAGATCGAACCACCTTTTATTTACCATTTACTAATTGTGTCCGTAGTAGTGTGATCTCAAAAAAACAAAAAAAAAAAACCGCTGTGTACCAAGTGCGAACCGATTTTATGTACAAATCGAGTTGGACCGTCGCGGTTTGTTGTTTGTCCTAAAAATAGAGTGGATCAAACCGTTGTAACCATTCACACCCTTTAGCTCACAGACACTAGTCTTGAGCAAAAAAAAAACGGGAACTGAATAGCCGAACCAAACCGATTTTTAAAAATCTTTGAATGGTTTTCAAACTTTTGTACCCGAAAAACCTAAAAATGAACCCGAACCGAATCAATACTCGAATTTATCTGAAATAAAAGTATACATCTAAAAGTAATATAACTATATCTACACTTTTAAATATAAAAGATACCCAAACTAGAATTATAAACCGGAATATATTAGTTTTTTCGGGTAATATAGATACTTTCCAAGATATTATGTTATATTTAGATAAAAAGTCACCAATATTTTAGGTTTTTTTTTAGGTATTTTTGATATTTGGAATATTTTCATTCTCAATATTCAAACCCGATGCAAATACAAAATTTTGAAATACCCGAGTAAGTTCAGAATCATCTACCCGAATGAATCCTATACCCGGAAAAAAATCCGATCAGGTACGGATATCCGAATGCCCATATCCCCTCCAAATCACTAAAAAATGTGAAAAAAACTAGAACCTAACAAAAGATTGAAAAGTGACCAAACCACACCAAATGCAATGGAAATCAAAAATTAAATAGTCATCAAATTTGTTTCTCTCTTTAGAGATGTTTAAAATCAGTGTTTTGGTTCCCATGATAACAAAAACAATAATTTCAATGTTTCGTAAAAACAAGTACGCACATGAAATGAACTTATCTTATTTTAGATTTGTGTTGTGTTGTGTGTGGTCCCAAACTCCCCAATACGTTTTTGACAAAATCTGAAACGTTTACTTAAATTGTCACAGACACGAATTGTAATGAAGGTCACGTTCATGACCAATGCCCCCATATCCCAAATTATTTTAATATTTATTATGCACATGGATATATAAGTAGGTGAGCTGAGCAGTGAAGAGATTTATTTTATTATTCATAATTACAACTAATTATTAAAAAAAAAATTAGAGAGAGAGAGAGGAATAATAATAAAACAGCTTAATTAAGGCAAAAAAATATGAAAATAGCTTCTTCTTCCCCGATTCTCACCGTTGTCTCCAGCTCTGGCTCTTTGGTTAGTTGACTTATTTTATTATGATCATGTCCTCTCTATAAATCTCAAGTTTTTTTTGTCTTTTTATTATTGTTCCACTTCTCAAATCAGACCCAGTAAGTCGTTTGTTTATTCAATCTCCAAAATCGAAACCTTTTTGAAAAATCGAATCTTGTGATCATTTGGGGAATATGAAAGATTTGATCTTTGTGTTGTTTATGTTTTGGGTTTCGATAAAGTTTCAGTCTTTTTTTATTTTTTTTGAGATTTTTGTTTTGTTGCGGGATCTGATTAAGACTGTTTTTTTTTTTGGTGTGTTCAGGATCCGAAAATTACTGGATCATCACTTGGATCTCGAATCCTTCCTCCTGCTACTCAAAGGTGAGTTTTTTTTGCTCTCATTTTCTTGTAGATTTGAAAGTTTAGAAATTATGGGAAATGGTGCTTGCGAACCCCTGATATAGTGATGATTATGTTGATATTGTGATGGTGATGATGGCTATTGATAGGAATGATGATTCAGGGTTTAGGGATGATGAGGGTTTGAGGGTTCAGGGTTTATAAATCCTTGTCATGTTATGATTGATTGTTTGATGATGAGTACTTGTATGTCTCTTGATGGTTATTTATTTGGATAGGCATAATTTGAACTTTGAAACGCATTGGCCACCCTATGGTGTATGAATTTTAAACCACATTCATTCTATGTCCATCTAAACGTTGAACTTGATTGCCGGTTTTTGGAATAACAAGTCTTGGACTTGTTTTTCGAGTTGGTTGTTTGTTTCTTTTAAACTGTATTCGTTATGTAGCAGTCCCTCTTTGTTAGAGGAATTGTGTGTGTCTTCCTTTTTAAGTGTTTGTAACGTTGTTTGAAGTTGAAGTTTTAGTCTAGACACTTTTCCTCTGTAATTGAGTATGAAAAGAACATCTTTGTTTCTGGATTTGTTAGAGCAAGAGCAGGAAGTGTTACTTTTATGTTTGAGTTCTTTACAGATTTTGGGATTTCTGATTTGGATCATTTTTGGTTTATCATTTGGTTTGTTTTGATGGCTGGCCGACAAGGAAATTCAATTAATATTGACATAGGTTAAGACATTTGTCATTGTGCTTAAAGTTTTCTGAGTTCGAAGTTTCTATGTATACTAGATCCTCGCCATCGGACAATCTTCTCCTCCGTAGGACAATGTCTTCCAATTATCTGAGGCATGTTGAGTCCATGTCCCAGTTACCTTCAGGTGCTGGTAAAATCTCTCAATTAAACGCCGTTGTTTTAGGAGAATCCCTTGCTTCCGAGGAGAATGATCTCGTCTTTCCCAGCAAGGAATTCTCTGGCCAAGCTCTTGTTTCCTCCCCTCAACAGGTATCTCTTCCAACACCAATTGAGTACTAGATCAGCACACCTCATCTTCTCTGCTTGCTTTTATGATCTGTAAGTAATTTATCTTCTTGTTATTTGCATGCAGTACATGGAAATGCACAAAAGGTCGATGGATGACCCTGCTGGTTTTTGGTCTGATATTGCGTCTGAGTTTTACTGGAAGCAAAAATGGGGTGACCAAGTTTTTTCCGAAAATCTCGATGTCAGGAAGGGTCCTATTAGCATTGAGGTTGATAATTTTCTTCTTTTTTATCCATTTCCTTATTTTTTCTCTGCTCTGTTCTCTGCATCTTCTATCAGAAATTTTTTCGTTGTGATAACATGTCTGAGATCATGTATATCTAGTGGTTCAAGGGGGGAATAACCAATATTTGCTACAACTGTTTGGACAAAAACGTGGAAGCTGGTTTGGGTGATAACATAGCTATGTACTGGGAAGGAAATGAAGTTGGGGTAGATGCTTCCTTAACTTATTCTGAATTGCTCCAACAAGTTTGCCAGGTATAAACACTGTTGTTCGTCCTCTCCAACCGCATTTACAGCTCTTCTTTCTCATTAATTAGCTGGAACTTCATTTTGTCTTGTCCTTTGTTCTGAAGCTTGCTAATTACTTGAAAGAAATTGGAGTGAAGAAGGGGGATGCTGTTGTAATTTACTTACCAATGTTGATGGAACTTCCCATCGCTATGCTTGCATGCGCACGGATTGGAGCTGTTCATTCGGTAACCTGTGAAAATTGTACATTTGTCTACAATGAAAACATTTACCTAATTCATTAACACATAACAAGTTTTCAGAATTAATTCAATTATTCCCCAGGTTGTTTTTGCTGGATTTTCTGCTGACTCTCTTGCTCAAAGAATCATTGACTGCAAGCCAAAAGTAATACTGACTTGCAATGCTGTTAAAAGAGGCCCTAAGACTATAAACCTTAAAGCTATTGTTGATGCTGCACTTGACCAATCTTCTAAAGATGGAGTCTCTGTAGGTTAGTCTATTTACCAAAATAGTAATTTGGGTTCTTTTTCCATCTCTTTCCTGTATTTTGGATTCAACTGGATGTTCCCAATTGCCATTTGCTGGTTTTCTACTTCATGGTTTGCACTACAGTTCAATTCCCCCCCCTCTATGTACTCTTTTTATGAGTTTGTTCTCCGAGCACAGCAAATAAAAGATGGGAAAGACTTTGCGTGTTTGCAACAAATGATTTTTGGCTGTTTTCTCTTTTGCTTCTCTTATATCAGGCGTCTGCTTGACCTATGAAAACTCATCAGCGACAACACGGGAAAACACAAAATGGCAAGATGTAAGAGATGTGTGGTGGCAGGTAACTATAGAGCTGGCTAATAATCGAGAATATGCATTCATTCTATTTTTCAATTGGTTCTTAAAGTCTTTTGTGGGTGGTGGTGATCTCTTAGGATGTCATTCCCAAATATCCAACATCATGTGAGGTGGAATGGGTTGATGCTGAAGCTCCCCTGTTTTTGCTCTACACCAGTGGAAGTACCGGGAAGCCAAAGGTAATTTTGGTCCTTGGTTAGATTGAATCTTTAACGAAGTTTGTTTTATTTCTCTCTTTAATATCTTTAATTTGGGTTCTTTGAAGGGTGTCCTACACACAACTGGAGGGTATATGATCTACTCTGCTACAACATTCAAATATGCATTTGACTATAAGCCAACAGATGTGTACTGGTATGCAAAGATACTTGTCTTGACTGTAAAAATTCCTTACTAAAAGCAATGCTATAGAGTGCTAATCTCTTTGCTTCTCTAACATAAGGTGTACAGCAGATTGTGGTTGGATAACTGGCCATAGCTATGTTACCTATGGACCAATGCTAAATGGAGCCACCGTTGTTGTCTTTGAAGGGGTAATCTTTTTGGATTGTAGATTTTTAGTGGTATATTATTTTCTGTCAGTCCCTCTCCCATAGTAATACGCTAAAGAGCTATCAGCATTTAAGAGGAAATAGGTTTTACTCTTTATCTCTATCACTTGGATTGAACTGTTGGTTGTGATATTATCATCTGGTTTTGAACAGGCTCCAAACTACCCTGATTCTGGACGCTGTTGGGATATTGTTGACAAATACAAAGTTTCCATATTTTATACTGCCCCAACGTTGGTGAGGTCCCTCATGCGTGATGACGATAAGGTATGCAATTTTTTCTGTTGTGGTGAAAAAGTAATCATCATTGTAATGATGCTTTGAAGTACGGCTCTGTCTTGATTTGCCCTCTAATTTTTGTATATTAAATTAAGCTTTATGTGGGGTAAAATACTTTTAAGTATCTAAATTACTTACTAAAATATTTCCATTTTCAACTTATTTTGATTGTTATAGTTTGTAACACGTTACTCTCGCAAATCACTACGAGTCCTTGGAAGTGTGGGTGAGCCCATCAATCCGAGTGCTTGGAGGTTTGAACTCTAATATCCTTTTTTTTTTTTCTGGCGATCATTCCAATGGGAACCTTATTTAGTGGTTTACAAATTCCTTGATGTAGATGGTTCTTCAATGTAGTCGGTGATTCGAGGTGTCCCATTTCAGATACATGGTGGCAAACTGAAACTGGAGGCTTCATGGTAAATCTCTTCTCTCTCTCTTATCTGTCTTGAAACCCCTTGCATGCTCCCCCTTATGTGCATCAAAATTGCATCGCAGATAACCCCATTGCCAGGTGCCTGGCCGCAGAAGCCTGGTTCAGCTACTTTCCCTTTCTTTGGTGTTCAGGTCTGTGATTCGTAGTGCTAATTTACATTTAGCATATTGCTTCTTCCTTTAAATATTTGTCTTTGAAGAGATTCACTCTCATCTCTCTCTCTGTATGTTGCAGCCTGTCATAGTTGATGAAAAAGGAAATGAAATTGAAGGCGAGTGTAGTGGTTATCTTTGTGTGAAAGGTTCATGGCCGGGGGCATTTCGAACTCTGTTTGGGGATCATGAAAGATATGAAACCACATACTTTAAACCTTTTCCTGGATACTATTTCAGTGGTGATGGTTGCAGCAGGTGGACAATCTATCTGATTAGTTTTGTTTCACATACACAATTGTAGTCAGTGTGGTATCTTTCACCGCATAGATGTTTTCACAAAAAAACAGTACATGTTTATGTATTGATACTATCCAAGTCGGGTGAGATTTTTACAAGAGCCTTATTTTGATATTGTGTTCCAGGGATAAGGATGGTTACTACTGGCTTACTGGAAGGGTTGATGATGTTATCAACGTCAGGTAGAATGCAAAGTTTATAATGATGTCAAAGAATTACCTTAACTTCCAATATTACTTAAATCTATATTTATCTTTGAGTTTTTTATAATGCACAGTGGCCATCGAATCGGAACTGCTGAAGTAGAATCTGCTCTGGTTTTACATCCCCAATGTGCAGAAGCAGCTGTTGTAGGCATAGAACATGAGGTATGTGGACTAATTATGCATTAGTGGTTGGCATATGAAGCGTGTGACACGGATAAGAGTTCATACTTCACACGTATTCTTACCTCAGCTTGTTAGTCATTGAGTGTAAATAGAAATTGCTTATGATTAGGGTCTCTAATAATTGGAACTGGTTTTCGGACATTTTAAGACCAGGAATAGTCTCCTGGCTCTCTATAACAATCTAGGGATACTTCATGGCTCTTGGGTCTGCGCTCGTTGTTTACCAGTGTGAGATAAAAGCAGAAATCAGTTTCGTTTTTATGCGTTTATGAGTTTCTTGCTTGTAACAGGTAAAAGGACAGGGTATCTATGCGTTTGTCACTCTTCTGGAAGGTGTTCCTTACAGCGAGGAGCTTCGGAAAAGCCTAGTACTAATGGTCCGAAATCAGGTATTAAGAATAAAAGAGAATAGTTAAGCTCTAGAGATGCTAAACTTTTGAGGAAGTGTTATTAGCACACTTTGATATTGTAATGAGTTTGTTTATAAATTCTGCTATTTTCAGATTGGGGCTTTTGCCGCTCCGGACAGAATACATTGGGCACCGGGGTTGCCAAAGACGAGAAGCGGAAAGATAATGAGGAGAATCTTAAGAAAGATTGCTTCAAGGCAATTAGAAGAGCTTGGAGATATTAGCACACTAGCGGATCCTAGTGTAGTTGATCAGCTTATTGCACTTGCCGATGTGTGAAGTAACCATGTCAATACTATATGATCCAATGGAGAAGTGATGGAGTTTTGTGCATCTCTATGTTTCAGTGTCTTATAGAGGAATTGGTACAAAAATCTGAAACAAGATTCAGGTAATTGGAAGGAAGAATAAAGTAAGTGGACTATATTGTTGTGTTCTTTTAATAAAGAAATTTCATTTCCATGAGTTTGGTTTTGGAGAAGAAAATGTTCATAGGATAATAAAAGTGGTTAAATCTAAATATAAAGATTCAGGGTAACATCTTTCTTTCATTTGTTTTATGGTTAACCAAAGAGAAAGATCACGTTAGTTAACAAACAAGTTCATCAATGTCTAAAAGAATCTTGCTGCTGCATCACTCATACATCTTGCATATTTGCACTGAACTTGGAACGTAAGAGAGCACAAGTGGGTAAGACGCATATTTGGATGACCTTGGTATCCCAAGATCAATTTCTTTGAAGTATCCATCTTTTCCAATGATGTAAGCTTGGTCATGTCTACCAAGAAGGACAACTACATTTTGCTTCTCGTCAATGATGAAACTCTTGGTTTTAAGATTAAACTGACTATACAGTCCCATACTAACCTCTAAGAGCAACTTGTTCCACAATGCTTCTTCAGGGTCAATCTTATTTGTAACCCATATCTCCATCCTTAAAGTATCCTTGCGCTGAAATAACACCGCAAGCTGCTCTTCTCTAACACTAGAGAGAGCCACAGTGTCATTGCAACAAGAGTGAAACGGTAGATGAAGACGCGGTCCAAATCTCTCTGTTGTAAAATCAAAACAGATCAAGAAATCAAGGGGATCAAGTAGTCCTTCTATATTCTTCTCTCTAGCAAACCAGTAAGTATTTCCCTTGAGAGACACACCGCGTTGTAAAAACGGGATTTCCCAATCAAGCTCCAAATGAAAAACTTTCCAAGAATCAGATTTAAAATTGTAGATGTCAAACTTATAAGTTCCACAGAAGGATGTTTTACAACATCTCAAGACTTTGTGGTTACCAATCGAGTTGTTGTTCATCTTCTCGTATCCAAGAGCATACCTATCAAAGAAATGGTAAGCCTTTCCGTAGTTGATCCACCTTGTTTGGCCACAATAAGGGTTACAAACCACCAGCCTAGAATTTAAGTTACGGGTGATGCATAACAGTAAACCATCGCAGTGAAAGACATTAGATATATGATCAACTCGATGATCTTCATCATCGTTTAGGCTAATGAGTTTAGCTTTATCCACAACACATGATTTAACGTTGGTCTTGTCATTTTTGTGAACTCCATGGAGATTTAAACTCATTAAACAAACCTTGTAATATGTCATCATGACCACCAGAATCTCATTCCTTAATTGTTAATGATTTCGTGAAATTGATATGATCGTTGATTACAGTGTTCCAGGTTTTACAAGTATATTGTAATGCTCTTATAGACTCTACTGGAACCCTAGAGAGTATCTCCTCCAATAAATCCTTTGGAAGATCGTACATAGCCATCGTTGGAGTTGTTTGTTCACCAAGTTAGGTCAAGCTAACCCTTTTCTCTGCTTTCTTTTGGCTTGTTATCTTACAGAGGCTATTTAAGATATATATAGCCATTGGTTTCACAATGAAAAGAGATTGGGTTGAGGATGTTAATTAGTTATACAGTTTAAGTAAAATTAATTTTGTTAATTAATTCTTACCCTTTTAAGTGATTTGTGTAAAACTGACAAATTCTATATTCTTCAATTATGAATTTTAAAAAGTATTATGAAATCCAGTGTTATTAAACAAGTGACTTGAAAATCTAGTTCCACTGTTATTTAAAAAGTTTTGAGGATTTATATTTTAATGATTTTAAAGAATTCGACATGACTTTAGAGAATGCTTTTAGAAAAAAATACAGAAATCCAAAATCCTATAAGCTTAAGCAACCTTTTAAGTGATTTGTGTAAAAATGACAAATCCTATATTGTTCAGTTATGAATTTTCAAAAGTGTATTATGAAATCCAATGTTATTAAACTAGTGACTTGAAAATCTAGTTTAAAATCCACTCTTATTTAACAAGTTTTGAAGATTTAGATTTTAATGATTTTAAAGAATTCTTCCTGGCAACACTATCATTTTTACTTGGTTTTTTCGGTTCGGTTATATATTGGAAATTTAAATTAAAAAGAAAAAATTAAAAAAATGATTTTGAAGTTATAATGGAAAGAAGTTGGAATATTGGTGGACTTTGTTCTTTAAGGAATTCAAAAGAAAGAGGGGACTCAATCAAATTAGGCAGTCGTATTGGACTTTCAAAGCTCTTTAGTCTTTACCATAAAAGAAATATATATACTAGTGGACTTTTCAAACTGTCGGCCACATGCCAAAAAAAGTAGCTCATATATGTGTTCTTCCACATCATTAACAGTCAATTAAGGTCCTTAATCAAGTCAAACTTGTAGTATTTCTAATCAATTAAGAAAGAAAAAATATGATATAGATGATACAAACTATTTGATCATTTTCATGCATGTTATGAAAACAAATATAAGACATATACAGTATACAGTATAATGAAATATTTGCAACACTTGAGCTTTTTCTCTTCTAAATTCTATTTAATGATGATTTATTTCAATTTGATCAAGAACTATACGGCAAGATCGATCCATGCTTTGACCACTCGTTCAAAAGTTCCTTAAATAAACAAAGTTGGTGGAGGAAGTATTATCATAACATAAAAGAAAAGAAAAAAAAATGGTTGGTGGGAAGTATATCTTTCAATATTTGAGAATATAAATGGATGTTATGATTCTTATGAAGAAGAGAGATAGATTTATGTGTAGAGAGATTGAGAGAAGCATGGATCAGAAAAATTCACAAGTCTTTACTATTCTATTTGCTTTGCTCCTCCTCTCTTCTCTATTTCTTAGCCAACCGCAAGCTTTCTCAGTTGGATTAACATCACACCGCAAAATCAGTAAGTTCTTTTGTTCTATACATAATCTTATGTTGGACTTATGTTGGATCTTAGTTTCTTCTAAATCATCTTCGTGTACATCCATGTGTGAATGTCTAGATGTTAATTTATTTGTATAGGGTTACTCTAAAGATAGGTTTTTTTTACATTTTATGCCTCGATTCGATGTTAATTCTCGCTATTATTAGAGTTTAACTAGCGTATGAATCAAGGTATTTATAGTTTTTAGTTTTTAGTTTCTCAATAAGGTGTTTATATATATGAAAAATGTTAGTACGAGTGTGCGAGTATTCTTACTAGTGATATGTTTTTGAATTGCAGTAGATGGGAAAGATGGGTTGAAACAAATTGGATTTCAAAAAAAGGTTCAAACGAAGCCGAGCAGTTCGAGAAGAGGACCATCGAAGGGTCATCCTCCAGGCTCACCACGACTATGAACCATTTGTTTACAATGTGCATGCATAAATATATTAATACAAATTCCAACGGAAACAAGAAATTAGTTCTTTACATATTTATACTTGAATATTCAGAATATATAATTTTGCGCCATCAAATCGGAAGAAAATTCATATGCATAAATTATTGTTTATACAAATATATAACTAATTTTAAAGTTATTATTCATTAGGTTTTTTTTTGACAATCTCAAACATACATCTTATTTAAAACGACCAACAAACATCTTAATCAAAACGACGGTGTTTCGTAAGAAAATACAAAACAAATTGTTTTGAAATAATTTTTTTGTAATAATTTTTTTGTTATGAACTATAATCTTCACTTGGATATCTTTTAAAAAAAAAAACTATAATCTTAATCAACATTGTAATAACGAATATCTGATTTTGAAGAATTTTTTGAAAGTGAATATTTCAGATTTCTTTTTATGATTGTATATGTATTTTGACTAGGGTAAAATTTAGAAAAAAAAATATTTGGTTCAGATATTATTCACCCTCTCTTGATCAGCCAAATAATTTTGTCAAAAACAAACCAAACCAATCTAATTCAAACCGAATACCAAATTAACCAAACTCCGGTTCAGCTAATTTGGTTCGTATTCCACACGTGTTCATAAACCCTAAATTGTCCCTTCCTCTCTCGTACAGATAGAGAACTAGATTCGATTTCGTTTTCCATAAACCCTAAATTCCCAGTTTTATGAAATTAAGACCTCAAGTGAAATCGTGAACTTCTTCTTCTTTCTCTTCTCTTTTCCAAAAAACCCCTAATTTCGGATTCTCACTATTCTCCCACACTCTCAAACTTAGAACAATGGAGAGTGTTGAAAGCAGAAGGATTGTGACTGATGAAGAAAAGTTAGAAGCCAAAAATTTCAACATATTCGATCTTCCCGACGTACCTAAAGGTCTTCCTCCGCATTTAGAACTCGAGCGAACTCGTGTTGTCTGTAAAGTTGATGCTCCTACACATGTAAGAACCATTCAGGATCAAAAAATGTTACAGTCTTTTTTATGCTCTGTTTTGGCTTTTTCTCAATGTCTCTCATGTGGGCTTGCTGTGTTTATCAAAAAGGTTAAGTTTTTTCTTGTGGGTTTGTCGATTTTGTCAAAATCCGAATGGTATTGAGTGAAGATCGTTTGAAATTTGAAGTCTTTAATGGTATTGTGTTTGTGTTTGTTTGCTGTGTTTATTAAAAAGTTTAAACTTTTTCATGTGGGTTTGTTAGTTTTGTCAAAATCCGAATGGTATTGAGTGAAGATTGTTTGTAATTTGAAGTCTTTTAATCGTTTTGTGTTTGTGTTTGTTTGCTTTGTTTATTAAAAAGTTTAAATTTTTTCACGTGGGTTTGTTGATTTTGTCGAAATCCGAATGGTATTGAGTGAAGATTGTTTGAAATTTGAAGTCTTTAAAGGTATTGTGTTTGTGTTTGTTTGCTGTGTTTATTAAAAAGTTTAAATTTTTTCTTGTGGGTTTGTTAGTTTTTTCAAAATCCGAATGGTATTGAGTGAAGATTGTTTGAAATTTGAAGTCTTTAATGGTTTTTGTGTTTGTTTTTTTGGTAGACCACGGAAACCATATATTCTGGTGCCTATGCTTTTATGGGAGTGGACAACAGTGTGAATCTAGAAAACTTCTCTGAGAATTTCAAAGTTGATGTGATTAGTCTCACAGAGACAGATATGGTATTCGATATGATTGGTATCCCTGCAGGGATTGCTAATGCTTTCCGAAGAATCCTCTTAGCTGAGGTCTGTCTCCCACTGTCTCACAACGTTTTGATGAATCTTCCTGATTATTAGAGGCTTTGGTTTAAAGGTGTTCATTTGTTGCAGCTTCCTTCAATGGCTATTGAGAAAGTGTTTGTAGTAAACAACACATCTATTGTTCAAGACGAAGTTCTTGCTCACAGGTTGGGTCTTGTTCCAATTGCTGCAGATCCTAGGCTTTTTGAATATTTATCTGGTGAGAAAATTGTACATGGCATGTGATTCATCTTTATAAGAAAATCATTCTTTGTGTCATGCTTAACTTTATTTCGTTAATCTCTGTGTCATAGAAAACGATCAGCCAAACGAAATGAACACCATTGTTTTCAAACTCCATGTGAAATGTCCAAAAGGTGACTCTCGTCGTAAAGGTAATATTTGTTCTTTGGTTAGCACAAGAAGAGTCATTGCCTTACTGTTAGCTTGATCTCTCATAAACGGTGTCATTTTTATTTCTTGAAGTCTTAACAAGCGAATTGAAATGGTTACCAAATGGAAGTGAGCTTCTAAAAGAATCAGCAGGAGGTTCCACAAAGCAAAAAACTTATACTTCATTCAGCCGCAGCCAAGATTCCTTCCCTGAATTTGCTGATAATCCTATCACGCCGAGCTTTCAAGATATCTTGTTAGCAAAACTAGGCCCTGGCCAGGTACTGTTTCTATTTATTCTATACCGCTAAATCGTTACACTTAAGAGGACTTTACTAGCGACAAGAAATGAAAAAATGCATCTTCATCTATCTTTTTCTTGCAGGAAATCGAGCTCGAAGCTCATGCAGTTAAGGGCATTGGTAAAACACATGCAAAATGGTCTCCAGTAGCAACAGCTTGGTATCGAATGCTTCCTGAGGTGAGAAGTCCACCACAATCTAATGTGCTTTGTGGGAAAAGGGGTTTAGTTTTTTTCTGGACTCGTCCTCAGCTTCTTCATAATGCTTTTGTTTATAATATCTTAGGTGATTCTACTAAAGGAATTCAAGGGTAAACATGCTGAAGAACTCGTAAAAGTCTGCCCCAAGAAAGTTTTTGACATTGAAGACATGGGCCAAGGTGAAGTAAAGCATTCCTTTAAATTCATTCAAAACCTTCAAACCTTCTTACTTGCTTTTGAGTAACAATAAGAGATTCTGATGAAACCGAAGGACACTGGCTGCAACTCTCTCTGCAATTTGATTTTATATTGACTTCCGAAAATTGAAAACAGGTAGGAAAAGGGCAACCGTAGCACGGCCTCGTGACTGCTCATTGTGTAGAGAATGCTTAAGAGAAGGAGGAGAAGAAGTTGTTCCAAAAAAAGGAGGAGAAGAAGTTGTTCCAAAAAAAGGAGGAGAAGAAGTTGTTCCAAAAAAAGGAGGAGAAGAAAAAGCAGAAGTAAAATCAAAAGGAAAAAGAGAATGGGTGGACCAAGTGGCTCTGCGCCGTGTGAGGAACCATTATATATGTAAGAACTGCTCATTCAACTTAGGCAGAACCATGATGTGAAATGAATACTAATTGAGTTTCTTCTTATTGTCTTTATCAGTTACAATTGAGTCCACCGGTTCACAGCCTCCGGACGTTCTTTTCACAGAAGCAGTTAAGGTATTGGAAGATAAATGTGAAAGAGTAATCTCTGAACTCTCCTGATGAGAAGAGGTTTAGCTCTACCGGCATGGTTCCGGTTTAGTTCAGTTTTGGGGTTTTGTATCGAAAGGTTTATACAAAAAAGAACATTGAAAATTTACTAAGTGTTGATTCTTGGTTCAAAATTATTATTCATGTGAAAGTTGAAGAGAAATATATATACAGTATGTGAGTGGTACCAAACACATTCATTCTTAAGCACTTAACAGATTGAGAATTCTAACTTTAGAAGGATACTGAAAAAACGAAAAATATGTTAGACCATTTTAACATTTTTACAAAGTTGGTGAAATCAACAAACGAAGAATAAAACTATAAAACTACATAAGGGCCAAATTTGTATTCAATAGTTAAAAGTTAAAAGAGGAGATTACTAACAAAAAGCACCAGTGGTCTAGTGGTAGAATAGTACCCTGCCACGGTACAGACCCGGGTTCGATTCCCGGCTGGTGCAATGTGAGCTATGAGGAAATAGACTATAGCAATGGTTGGGTCCTTTGCAATGTTCTGATCTCTATGATCGATTAAAGTCTCTCTCTGAGCTCTCTACTTTTTTCCTTTTTTTTTGACTCCCGAAATTATATTTTGATATATGAGATTGCTACATAACAAAGAAAATAATTATCATCAAAATATTTTTCACCATGAGATATAGATTACAAATTTACAACTATGGTTTGGAAAAACTCACTAACTCATCACCAAACAACTTCTAGCGACAATAATCAACTTTACCGTTACATTTTTGTCTTCGTCGACAAATGATCGCCGGTGATATCGTTTGTTATGTGTTGTAGTCGCTGTTTTAACTGGCGACAAAAAGCTAAGCTTCTAACATCTCCGTGATCAAACATCTAACGACTCCTTCATCACATATTTGAGTCTTAAAAGCAACAAGTAATTATTGTCATTTTTTATCGCTCCCCTATGTCGCTGCAACACTAAACCGAACAAGACCAATATATGTAATCCTTGTTTGCTCACACAATAATTTTGTTAAGCAAAGAAACTAAAATAATCATAACTAATCCAACTCAAAGAACCAAGATCAGTTAATAACTACTTATCATTTTGTTTTGTTTTAAATAAACACAAAACAAACTGATTATTAAAAAACAAAAACATAAATCATTAATTAAAGGAATTTTGCATCTTATAAATATGAAATTTACTATCCATATTTATTCAATAACTAAGACAGGTTTTTAAGGAATGAAGAAAGAACTATAGCTACAAGATAACTTTGCTATAAATAAACTTAAGTAGAACACATGTCCAGCTTCCGACCATAGCTGACGACCATGACATAATCAGCAGCTGAAGATCCAACTTTTACATTCCTTATACTAACATCTTTCTTAGTCGAGACCCAACGTTGCCACAAGTCAAACAACATTGTTGATGGATCAAGAGGTTCATTGTCTGAGTATAACTCTACCTGCAATATCCATAAAACAAACCAAATATGTATAGAACTAACCATTTTATCAAACTAAGTAATAAGATTTACAAAGAACAAGAACAAACCAAATCACCTCATCTTCGCTTTTAAGATCAAGTTTTTTTACAACATATTTCTTGAGATATGAAAGTTTTATGTTACTGTTCCTGAAAATATGAAAAAAATCATAAAATATTTTCATCATTATTAAAAAATACTATAATATTTACTAATTGCAAAGAGAAGACGTGGACGTACTTAACCCTTATGTATGTTGGAGCTAGTTGTTGCAATGGTGCATTCTTATTTCTGAAAACAAGTAAGCTGATGTTTGTAAACTAAAATATAAATTTTAGCAAGATAATGAAAAGAAGAGGACAAAGAAAGATTGACTGAATAATAAAGTCTTACTCTTCATTAGATGCCACCAAACTAAACCATATTGGAATGTCTCTCTTCACCATGATAGATACTTTTCTTGCACTCTAGGTGTATATAAACTCTATTATTTACGGGGTGACCAAAAAAAAAAAAAAAAAACTCTATTATTTACGAAAATGGCAAGTCAAATTAATAATAAACTTGAATCTAAAAGAAAACTAATACACGAATTTCTTTATGCATAGGTTTATTTACGCATAATTATTTTACTATATAAATTGAGAAGTACAAAAATAAAAATAATCTTATAAATTGTAAGAATTTACATTGAAATGCTATTAGAAAAAAATTTAAAATGAAAAAAAATATCAAAGGTAGTAAAGATAATTAAACAAATAATCAAACAAACTAAATATATAAAATCACAAGATAATTTATAAACTATAAATAAAATCGCAAAATAATCAAAAAATATATATTGCTTGTTTGGATATAAAAGCATAGATACGAGTTACATAAATATTAAATAATAACAAAATAAATTACTACAAATTCATATTAAATAAATAGTTCAGCCCAAACCGTGGGTTAGTACCTAATTTAATATGTAAATGGGAAGATAATATTTCAAATTTAAAATGTGGGCGGTAGTTTTAAATCGTAATTGTTACCATAGAAAACAGTTGTTATCACAAAATTTTGAGTTGTTCTTTTTCTATTTTCATAGTTGAAGCATAAGAAGATTTGAATGCTAAATATCATCATGGTAGTCTTATGACAGAGCTATTTGTTTAGATTATAAGAAAATATGTGAGTATGTAAATGAATTCATATATTTTGAAGACAAAAGAGACGACATATATGTTTTAAAAAAAACTGTGTTTGAATCCTCATAACACACAAAAAAGTATTGTATTCAAATCTAAATATAAAAGCTCTCATACCTTTGATCCTCTTTGTAGCTATGGTGGTTTAGTGTTTGCAGATTTCACAAATCCTCTGAGGACAAGGATACATATATAGTGTCCAACCACAATTTCTAATGTTATTCAAAGAGTTTTAATTTTTGAACTTTATTTTTTAAACACCTCAAATTTTATTTTAAGTTATTTTTTGAAAAATCTCTATAATTGGAAGAAAAATGTGCAGGAGTCAAATTTCATAGAGATTACATACCAAAAATAAACTTTTTTCTATCAAAACTTATATATATTATGGGTAAAAGCATGAATCAAATATAATTATAATTAAAATTACTTATAAAGTATGATTTTATTGGTCAAATTAGAAATTTGTTTCTTAAAACTCCACTTTTTAAATTTGATATAAAAATATTACATCATAAGACATAAAAAGAAAAATATAACAAAAGTATTCCTAAAAAAAAGTTATTTTCTTTTTAGTATTATAATACCAAGAACTTTGTTGATAGTTTATAGCAAACACGTTTCAAATTGGTATGTTATTTTAAAAATATTTTTCTTTTAATTACTGTATACACTACAACAAATCAAGTTTTACAACTACTCCATTAAAAAAAAAAATCTGTATACACTACAACAAAGAGTCAAAGATTATATCGAGCCGTTGCACTTTAATTGTTTTCTTAAGTCATAATAACTCAACGGTCATATTTTCAAAAACAAAATACGACCGTTGATCCCAACAAAATCTCAACTTTATCGTCTTCTCAAACTCTTTTTTTGCATATAAAACATCAAAAACAAGAAACACCAAGTGAACTAAATCAAGAAACACCAAACATCAAAAATCAAGAAACAGAGTTCTCTAATCTACAAAATTCAAGAAAATGGGAATGTCGAAATCGAAAGGCAACACACACAACATCTTCCTTCTTTGCAACTACATCCTCTTAGGCTCAGCTTCAAGCTGCATCTTCCTCACGATCTCTCTCCGTCTCTTCCCATCACTCTCTGGCCTTTCTCTCATCTTCCTCCACGCTTTAACCATCGCAACCGCGGTCTCTGGTTGCTCGATCTTCGCCTCTTCCACAACCGCAACCACTAGCGATAGATTATACGGCTCTCACATGGTAGCAACGGTCCTCACTGCCATATTCCAAGGTGCGGTCTCTGTTCTTACGTTCACGAGAACAGGGGAGTTCTTGAGGTTCTTGAATTCGTATGTTTTGGAAGAAGATGGTGCGGTGATACTTAAACTCGCTGGTGGTTTGTGTGTGGTTATGTTTTGTTTGGAGTGGGTTGTTCTTGTGTTGGCGTTTTTGTTGAAGTATAGTGATTATTTAGATGATGATGATGATGATGATGATTTCAAGGTTCGAAAACAAGACGATGATGGTCTCAAGGATTGGCCTTCGTACCCATTTCAATTCAAGAATTAAAAGTTTTCGATTTCATTTTCATTTTTTTTCATACACATGCTTGTAATGTGATAATGTCTCTCCCACTTTAATTAGTGTAAAAAATAATTCATCTATAAATTTTTTTTTATATATAAATATTTCAAAGTTCTATGTGTAAAATGGGAAATACTGAGCATAAAATTTGAGATCCGGAACCAATCCATAACGAATAGTCATAATACCCGAACGAATAATGAATGAATTCTTCTAGTTAAATTACCGGAACCAAATCTGATTTGAACTGAAAACTAAATAATATATCCGAAAACGCGAAAAAAAAATATTAGATCCAAAGACCTTAGGTATATTTAGTTATCATTTTATACCCATGAATACCAAATGACAAAAATATAAGAAACTAGTGATGGACCCGCACGTACGTGCGGGGTTATTTTTACAAAATTACGATTTTTTAATTAGATGCTATTTTGGTAAAGTTTTGTTATATGAGTTTATTTGATAAACTATATACAGACATACAGTTGTAAAACAACAAAATGAATACATAATACAATTTTAAAATTATTTAAATGAAAATGATAAGTGATATTGCGTGTTCATTTATAACTGTTTGCTTAGAGATGTTAAATCGGATTTGGGTTTGACTTTAGTTTGAATTGTTTTATGTGTAGTTTAGAATGGAAAACCCGTCATGTCCCTTTCCGTTTCGTCCTGACCCGTCCTGTCCCATAATCATTTCTTTTTAAAACATTATCATTTGCCAATGTTTATTATAAGAAACTTGGTAAAAGATTTAGACGGGATACCCGTATTCCTCGTTTAAATAATTATTTTTATCAAACTAATAAAAATCTAATTATCAATCTAAGTCACATGCTCCCACCATTTTCATTCACAAGGCACTGTCTGTAATCCTATCATACACAATCCTTGTTCGATTTTTAATTTTATTGATCTTTCAGTTTCATCTTTTTTTTCTCATTACTTTCTTCAATTCAAAGATTCATGTTTTAGCCTTTTTGTTTTCTAAAGATTTAGGTATTTCTATTTTTTTTTAATACATGGATTTATTGTAGTTTTGTTATCCGAAGTATACGTTATCTTTTTGTACCCGTCATTTCATGTTTAAATATTTGAAATACATAGGAAAGTGGAATTTAAATTTAGCAATTTAAATTACATGTCCCCGTATCGTACTCGTAGTTTTATATTTGATAGTTGAAAGTGAATTTAACTTTATGACCGTGTCTCATAACAATTATATATAATCATGTTTTCGAATTATATGTTCCCATCTCGTATTCATTCCTATAAGTTTATAATTTTTTTAATAAATAACACCATTTACATGTAACTAAATATAATTTTAATATATGTAAAATTTCATATAATCGCCCAAAAGTAGATTATACAAGTCATGGCAACCAC